CAGGGCCCACAAGCAGATGAAATCACCTCAAAATGGATCAACCACTTTGCACCATTGTAAGGGCCCACTAGACATTGACTCAGTCGAAGGAGAGGGTGAATGGCGGTGCTAGGGGGTTGGCCGAACCATGTTTCGACCGAACAACCCTTATGCCCATTCATCCCCACCTTCCACATCAAGGATGGTGATTGGTTCCCTATGACGGTTGTGGGTGAACCAACCTCATAACCGCCATAGTAACCGTCATTAGAGCCTACAAAAGGAGCTCTCACTTCACTCTCAAGCATAACACAACTCAAGTGGAATATAACACACTTTCATATTTCTGCTACTCTATAGTAGAGTTATAATATAGAAAGAAAGAGACAGGAAGTTTTGAAAGGAGTGCCCCAGATATCGAAGTTCTCTCCGTGGGAGTTCCGAATATGTTAGCATTCTCTCCATGGGGAGTCCCGGAGGAGTGTCGGCGTTGTCGGCACTCTCTCCTATCCTGTACCTCAACAAATGCTTATTTTATGTAAGTATTCGTTATTTTCTTTCGTATTTACTTTTCTTATTTAAGTAAGTTATATTCTCATCTTTGTAGGTTCATTGTTTAGTATTTATAATTAGTGCTCTGGTACTAAGGCTCTGGATAAAGAAGAAAGTTATTGTCCAATGCTAGAGTAGTAATCGATAACGTAGAAATGGTGTCTAGGTTAGAGGTTATCTTTGTTTGTTGCGTGCTCTAGGGTAAGTGAGGTAGGCGGCAGGTGGTGATAACTCTGTCTGTCCTTCGTATTCCTCCACATTCGAGTACGTCATAGAGCTATAGGCTAGAGTCCGTTGGCAGAACGACCAGGGTGAAGCAACTGATAGAGTTTTACCTCAACTTAATTAGGATTATTAACCCATAGGAATCGTCTCTATCCTAAATCTACCATTGAATTGTTTTTCTTAGATGAATCATTTTCTTATATTATACACACATGCCCCTTGTGATCCGATACCCTTGGAATACTCTAAGGTGAAGTGGTATATTGGTATCCGTGTACTTGTGGAGTTATATGTGACCATAACAAATACCAATGGAGGGTTGGGTGTAAATGAGCCAATAACTAACAGAAGGATTTCACACGTAACAACATCTGTCATTTCATCGACCATATACAATAACCCTGAATTTCGTAGAAATTTTATCCAAATATTAAATTTTAATATGTATCTAGTGGCTTCTACATATAGTGGCCCTCAATATAACCTGTTATTCTAATAACCGAGCGGTTATGATGGATATTTCTGAAGTGTTGACTTTCTTGGGGATGACTAGGCATGTAGACATCCAATCGATGACAGAAAATCGGAAGCGCTGACCTTCTCCACATTTCATTTACGTGGATTGATTATACATATGCATAGTACCCCTTTTACCTTTTCATTCCCCACCAAACATGTTTCACCTAGTGTACTCACAATGTTTCACTATGTATAGATATAATGTTGCAGTGAATTGAAACATTCTTTTATAACAAATCACCCACATATTTTGGAAACTCTCTATTAAGGGAATTCGTTTCATTTTTTGTTCCACCAAAAATGTTTCACCTAGTGTACTCACAATGTTTCACTATGTATAGATCTAATGTTGCAGTGAACGAAACATTCTTTTGCAATAAATCGCCCACATATTTTGAAAACCCTATATTAAGGGAATTTGTTTTATTTTTTGTTCCACCAAAAATGTTTCACCTAGTGTACTCAGAATGTTTCACTATGTATAGATCTAATATTGTAGTGAACTGGAACATTCTTTCGCTATTTGCTGAAACATTGTTTTATATAAGGTGAAACAACGGCTGATTTAAACGTTTGAAACATTTTCGATCTACTTAGTGAAACAATTCCGACATACTTGGTGGAACATCGTGCAACATTTAAAAATAATTCAATAATAAGCTAAAAAAATTCGTCGGAATATATCCATCTTGTTTTGAAGATCTAATTGCAACGAAATTAATGGTGCAATCGGATCATGATTTGGATAAATAGTTTAAGAGAAAAATTAGTTTAAAGTGGTTTTGCACGCATGTGTGGCGCTGACGCCATTCTCCTGATTTTTGCACGTATGGATCAGGCGCCCGATCGGTACCCGATCGGTAGTCCCCTCCACATAGTTATTACATTTAAAGCGCAAAGACTGATTTATAAGCTGATCTTCATCCTCCTAAACTTTTCAAGTGGTACTAAACCACCAATTACAAGTTTACAACAACTTCTAGTATATATGGGCCTCAACTACATGGTTTTTCTGCTGCAAACAGACTAGGGAATCACGGATTAGAGGTCACATGAAGAATGGATATGTATCAAAGGAACATCTAAATTTCATATTAATCAATATCACCACGTTTAGTTAAATTGACCATAATTACAATAAAAACTAGATGATGCCCCACGCTTTGCTGCCGAATATATGTTAGATATTGAAGAAATGATAAAATGATTTAGATTGAAATATTATGAAAATAATTTGAGAATGATGATTTAGCATGTGTATATTTAGTTTTGGAATAAAATAAATTGTAGACACAATTACTATATGCTTGTATGTTGAGCTTTGTGTGTTTAATGGGTTGACGTAGCATGTTTGCATGTAGATTTTAGGAGTGCTAACAAAAATATTATGCTTGCATGTGAGCTTTAGGTGTTTAGTGGGCATTAGCTTTATAAAAAGAAGAGATTGCGGATGACCAATCTGGTATCACATCATGATAAAATGCTGATAAGTCATCAAGGAAAATAGAGATATCAAAATTCGTAGAATAATTAGTTCAGTACTCCCTTCATCTCTTTAAGTGCGGTTGTGAGTTTCCGTATTCAACATTTGACTGCTCATCTTATTTGAAATTTTTACATGATTAGTATTTTTATTTTTATTAGATGATAAAATATAAATAGTACTTTATATGTGAATTAAATTTTTAAATTTTTTAAGACTGACGGTCAAATGTTGGACACGGAACCCACAACTGCACTTAAAATGAAACGGGGGAGTATCATCAAAAGATCTCAGCTATAGTTTGTGTTATTGTTCAAAGTTCATATGTTCAATCAAGGATACGGAATTCTTTACCTGTAAGTACAGAAAGTTTGAAGGGCAAACAATTATATGAGGTGTGACTGATATATATATATATATATATATATATATATATATATATATATATATATATATATATATATATATATATATAGGACTGGGGAGAAGGGATCGATGTGGGCGGTGGTGTAGGGTTACAAGGGCTTACTTTAGCCATTACGAGAAAATTAACGCCTTGTTTAGTTCGTGAAAAGAGAATTTTTGAAAGTCACATTGGATATTTGACCGGATGTCGGAAGAGATTTTCGGATACGAATGAAAAAACTAATTTCATAACTTGTCTGGAAACCGCGAGACGAATCTTTTTAACTTAATTAATCCATCATTAGCACATACTGATGAACCCTGAGTTCCTCTCGACACTCAAGGCTGTTGTTGGCCCGATCTTTTGGTGAGTTGTGATAACTACGATTTGGGAGAAACGTTGACGATCCGACTACAACCGTACGAGACGTTGTGTTGCGCCTTAGCGATCGATACACCTCTCCGTGGGTTGCTGATCTTGCCGGTGCAGATCAACCCTATTCCTGCAAGCAAATCGAAGAAACAAGCAAGAACAAGATAAAAGCAATCTGATATTGCAAATAGGAATTTAATACAAATGATAAGTTGGGGTTCCGAAGAACAAGCAGACGGACGGTCTAGCCGACACGCGCGCTGCAAGCAAGTAGCAATGGCTAAACTTTAATCTAACAAAAACCCAAGAAACCCTGAAGGGGTACCTAACTATATAAATAGGGGTGGGAGGACGACCTAGGGGTGCCTAGGGTCGTGCTCCACCTGGCTGGGGCGCACCCCACATGGGCCCCACCTGGGCCGGGGTCCCAGACGAAGTTACAAGCCCATAGGCCCATTATAGGTGATGCAGCACCTTGTTGCTTCAATTGCGGCTCAATAAGATGGAATTTCGCAATGAGGCTGGATCCATTGGAAAGAGGACTCCAAGAGCTTTCCATCAAGTACTCACGGGCCGAAAACGGAGGTCGTATGCAGATTCGGCAGCCGTTTGAAGTCAGCAGTGTAGTAGGTGGACGAATCGGATTCCAGCACTTGGAGGACTTGATCTTGATATCTTCTTGTTCATCCATGATGTGAGCAATGGTTGCATCTGTGGTAGCCATGGTCACATCACATACGGATTACTGTAGCACTTATGGCTAATCATTGACTAATTAGACTTAAAAAGATTCATCTCGCGATTACCATGCAAACTCTGCAATTAGTTTTTCTTTTTATATATATTTAGTACTCATTGCATGTGTCTAAAGATTCAATGTGACGTTTTTAGGAAAAATATTGGGAACTAAACCGGGCCTAACACTGAAAACGGATTCTAACGGACGGCTTGTGACGGCGATGGCAGAGTAGAGGTTGAAGAAAACACGATGGTATATTATGGAACTTGATAAAGTCAGTGGGAAATTGTAGAAGTGCGGCGATGGTAGAGAGCAGAGGTTAAAGAAAACACGATGGTATATTATTTTCTTGAGCAACACAATGATATATTATGAAACTTGACAAATTCAGGGTGTGTTTAGTTCACACTAAAATTGAAAGTTTGGTTGAAATTGAAACAATGTGGTAGAAAAGATAAAAGTTTATATGTGTAGGAAAGTTTTGATGTGATGGAAAAGTTGAAAGTTTGAAGAAAAATTTTGTAACTAAACTCGGCCTCGGTGAGAGAGATGGTAGAAGTGCGACATAAGGAGTGGTACTGATCTCAAAATCGTCTGAAAACGACCTTCACCCCCATGTTCCTACCCATACAGGCCCTGGGTGCCACCAGAGACATGCAAAGGGAGGAGAAGACACGTACCTATTGCCGTGGGCCCGTGGCACCGCCATACCGCATCCTCTCCTCTCTTCTCAACATGGACCCCGCCCCAGCCACCTCTCTATCCAGGCCTAGAAACCGAGAGAGAGGGAGGGAGGTTTCCTCGATCACCAGCGTCGCCGGCTGGAAAGAAGGCGACGCCGCCTCCGTCCATCGGGTCAACGTCGACGTACCCTCTCTTTCCCGTTCTTAGCTCCCCTATGCGTGCCGTTGATTTAATTATCCCTGAGCTCGCTCCGTTTGATGCAGTGGATCCCCGGGAACGCTGCCGCGCCATGGAGCCCCGGAGCACGGCCGCGCCACCGCACCACCGTTGCTAGGGCTTCTTCGTTGCCGCTTCCCTGTGCTGCGCCAAAAGCTTCACCTCCTCGACCTCAGCTAAACACCCCAAGAATCACCCCAATACGAGCTTTGTAGAAGGAGAACGTCCATCGTCTTTCCCGGCCTCGGCCGAACCCCGTCGACTCGGTTAGTGTCGAGTCCTCCCCTTTTCGCAGATTACTCCTCATGCGATGTTCCACCTCGTTTCTCCAATGTGGATGGCCAGATCTCTCTCCATACTCGGCCGTCGTCGACTTCGCCGTGACGCCGAAGCTCTCCATCGACATCGACTCCAAGCCGTTCCGCAAGCTGCTGTTGCGGTCCAAGCCTCGCAAACACCATGCTTCTGACCGGTGAGCACCTTAGAGCCCCCTAAGACCGCCCAATCCGAGCGAGCTCCACCGCAACATGCAAGGCATCCGAAAAACCTCTCCAATGTTCATCATTTACATCATCTCTACCTCCTCTGGGTCCGTATAGTCGTGGGACACATTTTCTATTTTTACCCCGACACCATCCAAGCCATCGTTCGCCGCTGGCGAGCTCTGTTTCAGCTCCAACTAGGGACCTCCTCGCGAGAATTTGGTTTAATCTAGGGTTCGTGTTACAAAAGCGCATGACACACAACACTGTCGCAGGACCTATACGCGAATAGTAGAGAAAGATGAGGCCTCTTGATCAAAATAGCCATTCAACTCGTGCTGAATTGTTGAAAACTACTATAAATTTCAAAAATGCATAACTACTTCATCCTAGCTCCTTTTCCAGTGATTCAAATTTCTAGGAACTCATAAAAATGTACTCTTATGCACTGCAAAATAAAATATATTACTTTTAATGTAAAGAATATGTCTAAAATGTTAAGTAGTGAATAAGTACTAAACTACAAACATGGATTTCATATAAAATACATTTTAGTTCCAATTAAGATGATTAAAATTTGGTTATATTCAACTAATTATGACATGTACTCGTATTAACCAAAACATGGAACACTTGGTACATTTAATACCTCTTAAATTAGTATTGCCAATTATTAACATAAAACTTATCCTAACTTGTGACATATATATAAAATTAAATATAAATAATTTTTGAGATGAATCCAATTTCTTTAGATTTAGAAAAAACATGATGGTATTTAATACTGGGAAATAAAAAGTTGCACTTACAGTATAATAATAGTCTCTACAATTTCATTTAGGAAAATGTAGACATAAAGCATGCTTTAAATTGTAACATACATAGAAAATTCATTTTAACTCCAATTGGGGTGAAGCAAAATTTCTGTAGATTCAGCAAAATGTAAAATTTAATTTAGTAAGATAAAACTTGACAACTTCTGTACCTGAAACATCAATAAAATTATGTATAGCAAAATAATTAACCCACTTGTAGTCCAACTTCTAAAATTCATAGAAAATTCATATTAGCTTCAAATATTATGAACTCAATCTTGTTAGGCTAATAACACCATTCAATTTAATTGGTAAAAACAGTAGGTACTGCACTTGTACAAAATCAGTCTCTAAAATCTTATATAGAAAATTATTAACACAGACCATGTTACAACTTGTAAAATGCATAGTAAAATCTTTCGAACTCCAAAAATTGTTAAACCAATTGGGTTGGTCTTAGAAAACTATACACTTCATCACTGTAAAGTAAAATTTGACAAAACTACCTCTCAAATCTCTTATAAATATTTTCCTAGCAACTAAATGTTATAGTCTAGCACACAACTTGTAAAATTCATAACTCAGAAATAAAAAGAGGTAAAATAGTAAATATTTCACCAAAAATCATGTTAAACCAGTACATGATCGCTGTGCATAAATCATTCATTTTATAGCATTTTGTAGTTTTCGCATAATTTGGTATTTATTTGCATACCGTGAATTTTATATAGATCATTGCGCTAACGGAGAAGAAGAGAGTTAGGTGGTGTTCAATATAATTTATTCAAGTCAAGGCAAGTTTTTCCTCCCCCTTCCTTTGATCACCTTGAAACCCATGTTTTGGGAGATGAATTGAAATGTGTTGTTTGCAAAATTGCATGAGTATTTGATAAAATGGATATTTGAAATTTGGTTAATGGTAGCTAAAACCTTATTGCTGCATACTTGTCACACCCTGAAGTTTTCCTCCCAAGCCTAAAATTTAATTTATAAGAGAACCCAAGAAAATACCGGTGCAAAGCAAGAGTAAACCCTTTTAAATCAATGCAAATAATAATCGGAAGTGGCATGTGGAATTTTTCTTGAGTTCTACATGTCGAAATCCATTAACAGGATTTTTAGTGGAATTTTCAGAGCCCTAGAAATAATTTTAACCAATTAAAACTGAGCAAGCAATATTTTAATTCCAGGAAAATCCTTTTCTCCTTTTTGTTTTTCTTTTTCCCTCCCTTTTTCGAATGGGCCGCTGGCCCATTCTCTCCTTTTCTCTCCCTCCTCCCTGCTGGGCCGGCCGCAGGCCGAGGCCCAGCCAAGCCGCCCCTCCCTCTCTCCCCGGGACGCCGACAGGTGGGCCCCACCTGTCGGACCCGTCCCCTTCCTCCAGCCGGCGCCGCCGCGCCCGCAACCGCCGCCGCGCCCACGCCTCCGCCTTCTCCGGGCCACGTCAGCCACGTTCGCGCGTGCGCCGCATCTCCCGCGCCCACTCCCCTCTCTCTCCCGCCCGCGCCCGCGCCCGAGATGGCCGGGATTCGATTTTCGAATCCCGCCTCTCTCTCCTCCCCCACTACCCACGTTGGCCGGCGAAATCTCGCCCCTACCGGCCACGTCCGAGGCTCTCCTCCCCTATTTAGGCTTCCCCGTCGCCCCCTCTCGCTTTTTCCCCATTTCGCCGAACTCTCCCGAGCTCCCCATCGCTCCCGCGCTGTGCAACCACCCGCCGCCGCCGTTTCCGCTACTCCAGCCGCCGCTAGCCGCCGCTAGGGTCGCCGCCGCACCGCGCCGTCGCCGCCGTCGGGTTCGCGAGGCTAAGCTCCACCCCGGCCGCCCCTTCCCCGTCGAGTTTCGTCGCCGGAATTCGCATCCCCTCGCGCTCCGGTGAGTTCAACCGCTACCGCCGCTTTCGGCCATGAATGCCGGTCGCCGTGGTTCATCTCCCTCTCTCTAATCTATCTCTCTTCCTTCCTTAGGGCACCCCGAAGCCCGTCCGCCGGTTGCCGTCGTCCTCCCGTGGCTTGTCGTCGCCGTTCGCCATCGTCTTCCTCCGCGCCGGCCACCCTCGGTGAGGCATCCTCTCCCATCTATTCCCCTCCCTCTCCTTCCTAGCCGTCGCTTAGCGCAGCCGCCTTCGCGTCGCCTTTGCGCCGTCGCCTCCGCCGCCGGTTGCCGTCGCCGGCAACACGTTCGCGTGTGCGCGTGCCGTCGCCGTCGCCGCGGCCGCTCGGCCGGCCTTGAGCCAAGCCGAGCCGGGTCGCCGCCGCCCCTTCCTCCCTCTCCCGAGCCGCTGACCGGTGGGCCCCGCATGTCGGCGCCGCCCCCCTCCGTGCTGACGTCAGCCCTGGGATTTATTGCGCAATAAATGATTTAAGGTTTTTCTTTTATAGTAATAAACACAGTGAATCTTCTAAAATTCATAACTAATTCATCCGAGCTCCGTTTAAGCCCATTCAAGTCTCAGTAAATCAAGAAAAATGTGTAGAATCCATTAAAAATAGTTTTGTTCCCTGTTTCAGTAGTCTTATAGCCAGTTTGCAATGTTTGCCTTGTATGTCGCTAGATTCCGGTTCCTCCGACGCTCCGGTGTACTTCGAAATAGTCATCGAGGTTCCTCCAGCAACAGAGCAAGGCAAGTCATGCTTGTCACTTGAACATGTTGATCCTATATTGCAAATGCTCTATTGTTTCCTTTCAAATATTGCATTGTTTTATAATGTTTCTATGGGGTGTTTACCTATTGTCATAGCCATGCTATTGTTGTACCATGTTTCTTTGTCAGCTTGGGGTTATAACATGACTAGAGATTGGACTAGGGATTGCTTAGCCATGCTTAGTTCAACTAGTGCACAATGGGGAAGATCTTATTAATGTTTAGACTGTTTGTTCTAATGGTATTGTTGGATTAGTGCCACCGCTTTGGTGTTGGTTAATTAAAATAAATCACATGGTGGGCTGTGGGTGCATGGTTTTGCTGGTCGCACCCATGGCAGTTAAGGACCGGTTCGCGGGATGCCCTGGAAGAACTTATCGTACTTACCACAAGCCAGCGTGGGCAACGGCTGGGCTTGTAGTGTAGCTTTCCTCTAGTCAACGCATCCAGGCAAGGGTGGGCGTGATGGAGCGGGGCGGGCCCTGCGACGGCCTCTGTCGCTTCCGGATTCACCTAGGCACGAGAGGGGACTGCCCGCTGCCTTGCGAGGAGTGGGGGTGAAACCTGAGGTGTGGTGTGCTTGGTTAGAGGGGGTTATGCGAAGGGTCCTGTCACGGCCTCTTTCCGGTATGTCGTGGTGACATGTTGGCGCACGGTAACGTGTCGTGGGGCTGTGTCTTGTGGGTACAGTTGTACACCTCTGATCAGAGTAAAACTATTCGAATAGCCGTGCCCGCGGTTATGGGCGGTCAACCAGATTCACCGTGATTAGTCTCACCCTAGTGTAATCTTTTGATTTTGGATAGTTTAGGTGGATGGTTGGACCTGTTGCAACGTGGGATAGCGTTGGACAGTGGATAGTTAATATTAATTAATTATTACAACTGTTTAAATCTTTCAATTTCTGTTTTTTTTAATGCTCGCTTTATGCAAACGAACCACTTTAGCTCTTCTTTGATAATTCCCTGCATCATGCCTCTATTCCGGTATGACTTGCTGAGTACAGTGGGTAGTACTCAGTCTTGCTCTATTTTTCCCAACCCCAGAGCACGAGTATGTGTCAGGTTTCTCCGAGGAGTAGGCTTCGTCCGTGCCGTCGAGGATGCCTGTGGAGTAGTGTTCCCGCTGCAGTTCTAGTCAAGGCTTAGCTCCTGTTGTCTTTCGTTTTTCCGTTGCATTTATGTAAGACTTTTATGATGTTTGTAAGACGTGGATCTGAATGTCAATATTGTCGTTTGTGTACCCCGGCCGGTCCTGGACGGGGATTTTAATGCACATTCTGCTTGGAATTCTATTCGGGAATTTCTGGGCGTGACAAGTTGGTATCAGAGCCGACCTTGACCGTAGGACAAGCCAAATGGAAAAACCTAAGAGCCCTCGGAATCCTTTTCATTGCATATGTTTTCTTTGCAATTGGATTTGTTCCGGGAAAATTGGGATCTGTTCTTGTGGTTCAAGGGGAAAAATCTTGGTCGCTCGTTTAAGTGAGATTTGTCAAAACGAGTCAGTCTAGGGTTTTAGTAAAACTATTGAGATTTATTCGTCAGTCAGTTGGGATTTGATGGGTGAAATGCATTAGGTCCTAGCTCAGGAACATGGGTTGCAAGGTATTTATGCTCTTAGTGTTATTATTAGTATGTATCTAATTTCCCCATTATTTTATCGTTATGTGAGTCTGTCTTATTTATTCACTCTCATGCAAAATGATCTATGCATAAAATTTCGCTCTTATTCGATTCTCTTATTTGAGTCTTTTATTGCTTTATTTAAATTTGGATTTGAGCATGCATTGATCCTACTCCTTTGTCTTTTCTAGATGGCCGGCCACCCACCCAACCACCGCGGAGAAGGCATGATTGACTTTATGGCAGAGTTGGCACGTATGACGCTGGTGGTGGGCTACCCCAACGCGCCAGAGTACACGACTGTTCCACCGCTCAGTGGCGAGCTTCCTCACCGTGTTCGCCTGGAGGTCCACGGCTACGTGGGTACCTGCCTAGCTAATATGGTGGTTGAGGCATCCGGAGGCACAGCAGATCACGCCTGTCAGGAGGCAGCATACCTGATGATGGCCAGACTACGGGAGCGCCACAACTACATCTTCCACGACACGGCGTACCGATTTCACCCTTGTCGAGCCAGCGGTGATGATGTCAGTACTTTCCGTCCGACAGCCGGCGAGAACGACACCACCTTTGGTCACATGTGTGCTGTGATGAGGGGATTGGATAGGATGCACTCGGACCTGCACAAGGCGTCCAAGGCCTTGAATGATGGGAAGCTCATGAGGATCGTCGCTCTGAAGGACGAGATAGCGCGCCTGAAGAGGGAGAATGCTCAGTTAAAGGGTCTTCCTGCGCCAGGAGGAGTCCGGATCCGCACTACGCCCCGCAAGACGATGACTGCACCCGTGCGCATCCAGCTTGCGCCCAGGAACCCACCTCCATCCGCAGTTCCCGCACCTCCCGTTCCACCCGCAGCTCTGGCAGTTCCTGCAGCTCCAGCACCAGCTCCAGCTCCCGTTCACGTGTCAGCTCCCGCGTCCGCTCTCTCCTTCGCTCCAGCATCAGCCGCCAGGGGTCCAGCCAGTGGCAACGGAGGTTGGTTGTCTGCTACTCCCAGTGGCAGCTGCGATCTCAGCAGCAGTAGCTCCAGTGGCTCAGAGTCGGGCAGCGGCGAGACTTATCTGCCAGGCTCCAGGAGTCGCTCAGAGGGACCTGGTGACGAGCAGGAGGACGCCTTCGACTCCACCGACCGCAGGAGCCGTTCTGAGCATTAGGCTCGTTTTCCATTAGTTTACCGACTGTCTAGCTTCTGCTTGTTAGTTTGTGTGTTTAGGTTGCTTGCTTGGGGTCAGTCGACGGTCGATATCATGTGCCTATGATATGGCTGTCTTAATAAGGATTTTTGCTTGTTTTTTTTAAGTGTTTTAATTCAGATCAGAACAACTGCAGTTTAAATTCCTATATAATAAAGCTTAGTTCCTGAGCATCTGTTTTTCTTCTTTTCCCTCGTCTGCTTTTCCCTCCAGATGGTCTACACCAGGAATGGTAGCCGCGCAACAGGCGAGGGCAGCAATGGCGAAGAGCGCACTGATGGGGTGCATCCCCACAGCGATTCCGGCAATGGTCCGCCACCACTTCCCGAGAATCCGACGCTAGCCCAAGTGATGGCACATCAGACTCAGATGATGGCAGACATGATGCAGCAGATGCAGCAGCAGCACCAGCAGATGCACCAGCGGATGCTGTAGCACGCCGGACAGCAGCATCAGCAGTTTGGTCCCCCTCCCCCTCAGTCCAAGTTGCCAGAGTTTCTACGTGTCAGGCCACCCACCTTCTCCAGCACCACCAACCCTATGGAGGCGAATGACTGGCTCCATGCCATAGAGAAGAAGCTGAATCTCTTGCAGTGCAATGATCAGGAGAAGGTTGCTTTCGCCACACACCAGCTTCAAGGTCCTGCGTCAGCTTGGTGGGACAATCACATGGCCACCCGCCCACCAGGTACTGAAGTCACTTGGGTAGAGTTCTGCCGTAGCTTCAGGAAGGCGCAGGTGCCAGACGGGGTCGTGGCACAAAAGAAGAGGGAATTTCGGGCACTCCATCAGGGCAACAGGACTGTGACGGAGTATCTCCATGAGTTCAATCGCCTCGCGCGATATGCACCAGAGGATGTCCGCACCGACGCCGAGAAGCAGGAAAAGTTCATGGCAGGTCTGGATGACGAGCTGACCAACCAACTGATATCTGGGGACTACGCCGACTTTGAGAGGCTGGTTGACAAGGCAATCCGTCAGGAGGATCAACGCAACAAGATGGACAGGAAGAGGAAGGCCGCTCAGTTCAGGGCACATCAGGGAAGTCACCAGAGGCCGCGCTTCACTCCTGGACAGCAGGGTGGACCTACCACCATGATCGTCCGCCAGTACCGCCCGTTCAACCCTAGCAACTTTCCCCAGGGCGCCAGTGGCAGTCAGAACCACCATGGAGGTCAGCCCAACCGCGGTGCAGCTCCACGCCCACCAATGGCACCGGCACAGTCAGGCCCGTCCGCGCAAGCCAAGAAGAAGACTGGAGCAAAACCAGGGTCCTGCTTCAACTGTGGCGAGCTTGGCCACTTCGCTGACAAATGCCCGAAGCCTAGGCGTGCCGGGCCAAGGTTTATCCAGGCTCGTGTCAACCACGTATCTGCGGAGGAGGCACAAACAGCACCAGAGGTTGTACTGGGTACGTTTCCTGTTAACTCAATCCCTGCAACAATACTTTTTGATTCTGGTGCAACGCATTCGTTCATTTCAAAGAAGTTTGTCGGGATGCATGGGTTAATAAGAGAGGAACTTAGCACACCGATGCGGGTTCATACCCCAGGGAATAGCTCCACTTCGGTTCAATTCAGCCCTTCTATAACAATAGAAATTCAAAGATCACCATTTCTAGCCAACCTTATTCTTCTCGAATCCAAAGACCTAGATGTCATTCTTGGGATGGATTGGCTGACCAAGTTTAAGGGAGTCATCGATTGTGCGAATCGCACCGTCACCTTGACCAACGAGAAGGGAGAAACGGTAGTGTACAAATCACCAGACTCACCAAAGCGAGGGGTCTCTTTCAATCAGATTGAGGCGGAAATCCCAGTGGACACCGTGGAGAAGAATTTGAGGAAATTGGAAGATATACCCATAGTCTGCGAGTATCCAGAAGTGTTCCCCGAAGACCTCACTACCATGCCACCCAAGAGAGAGATTGAATTCCGGATTGACTTGGCACCGGGAACCGCTCCAATTTACAAGAGACCGTACAGAATGGCGGCCAACGAACTAGCAGAGGTCAAGAAGCAGGTTGATGAGCAGCTTCAGAAAGGGTACATTCGACCAAGTACTTCACCTTGGGGTGCTCCGGTCATTTTTGTGGAGAAAAAGGATAAGACAAAGAGGATGTGCGTTGATTATCGCGCACTCAACGAGGTCACAATCAAGAACAAATATCCTTTGCCGCGAATCGATGATTTGTTTGATCAACTGAAAGGAGCTAAAGTGTTTTATAAGATAGATCTGCGATCAGGCTACCTCCAGTTGAGAATTCGGGAAGAGGATATTCCAAAGACGGCCTTCACCACTCGGTACGGGCTATATGAGTGCACGGTTATGTCTTTCGGACTTACCAACGCACCCGCATTCTTCATGAATCTGATGAACAAAGTGTTCATGGAATTTCTGGACAAGTTTGTTGTGGTGTTCATCGACGACATTCTTATCTATTCAAAGACCGAAGAAGAACATGAGCAACATCTCCGTCTGGTACTCGAGAAGTTGAAGGAGCACCAGCTATATGCCAAGTTCAGCAAGTGTGACTTCTGGTTGACGGAAGTCAAGTTTCTGGGACATGTCATTACAGCTCAGGGTGTGGCAGTTGATCCATCGAACGTAGAGTCAGTTACCAAATGGACCCCACCGAAGACCGTGTCGCAGATTCGAAGTTTTCTAGGACTGGCAGGTTATTACCGCCGATTCATCGAAAACTTCTCCAGGATCGCCCGACCCATGACTCAGTTGCTTAAGAAAGATGAGAAGTTTAAATGGACAGCTGAATGCAATAAGAGTTTTGAGGAGCTCAAAAAGAAGTTAGTATCCGCACCAGTTTTGATTCTGCCCGACCAGATGAAAGACTTCCAAGTCTATTGCGATGCATCCCGCCACGGACTTGGATGTGTCCTAATGCAAGAGGGCAGAGTGGTTGCGTATGCCTCGCGGCAGTTGCGTCCACACGAAGGGAATTATCCAACTCATGACCTGGAATTGGCAGCAGTGGTTCATGCTTTGAAGATCTAGAGGCACTATCTGATTGGCAACCGCTGCGAAGTATATACGGACCATAAGAGTCTGAAATACATCTTCACCCAACCGGACCTAAATCTCCGACCACGAAGATGGTTGGAACTAATCAAAGATTATGACATGAGCATTCACTACCACCCGGGTAAAGCCAATGTGGTGGCAGACGCGTTAAGCAGGAAAAGTTACCGCACTGCCCTGTGCATCGAGGGCATGTGTGAGGAATTGTGGCAGGAGTTTGAGCATCTCAACGTGGGAATTGTTGAACACGGGTTCGTAGCCGCTCTGGAGGCACGACCTACGCTCGTGGATCAAGTCAGAGCAGCTCAAGTAAATGATTCTGAAATGGCAGAGCTGAAAAAGAACATGAGAGTCGGAAAAGCCCGGGATTTCCACGAAGATGAACACGGCACAATCTGGTTGGGAGAAAGATTGTGTGTACCTGACGACAAGGAACTGAAGGATCTGATACTCACCGAGGCTCATCAGACCCAGTACTCCATTCATCCAGGCAGCACCGAAATGTATCAAGACCTCAAAGAAAAGTTTTGGTGGGTCAGCATGAGGAGAGAAATAGCTGAATTCGTCGCACTCTGCGATGTTTGCCAACGAGTGAAGGCAGAGCACCAAAGACCAGCAGGTTTACTCCAACCTCTTCAAATCCCGGAATGGAAATGGGAGGAGATTGGAATGGACTTTATAACAGGACTGCCCCGGACATCATCGGGTCATGATTCCATCTGGGTAGTCGTGGATCGACTCACTAAGGTTGCTCACTTCATACCAGTACATACCACGTATACGGGCAAAAGGTTGGCGGAGCTCTACCTCTCGAGAATCATGTGTCTACATGGAGTACCCAAAAAGATTGTATCTGATCGAGGGAGTCAGTTCACCTCAAAATTCTGGCAAAAGCTGCAGGAAGAATTGGGGACCCGTTTAAATTTTAGCACGGCCTATCACCCGCAAACTGATGGTCAGACCGAGCGAGTCAATCAAATCCTGGAAGATATGTTGAGAGCTTGCGCTCTTGATTTTGGTGGAGCTTGGGACAAAAACTTGCCATATGCGGAATTCTCGTACAACAACAGCTACCAGGCCAGTCTACAGATGGCACCGTTTGAAGCTTTATACGGCCGGAAGTGCCGCACACCTCTCTTCTGGGATCAGACAGGCGAGCGTCAACTGTTCGGGACAGAGGTATTAACGGAAGCGGAAGAGAAAGTCAGAATCATCAGGGAAAGGTTGAGGATTGCCCAGTCTCGACAGAAGAGCTACGCGGATAACCGCCGAAGGGAGCTCACTTTTGAGGCAGGAGATTACGTGTATCTTCGTGTCACTCCGCTCCGGGGAGTACACCGTTTTCAGACGAAAGGCAAGTTGGCACCACGCTTCGTGGGACCCTACAAAATCTTGGAACGAAGGGGAGAAGTTGCTTATCAGTTAGAACTTCCATCCAATATGATCGGCATCCATGACGTGTTCCACGTGTCCCAATTAAAGAAGTGCTTAAGGGTACCTGAAGAACAGGCTGATTCGGAACACATTGATATCCAGGAGGACCTAACCTATGTGGAGAAGCCGGTTTGTATACTTGATACCAGCGAAAGAAGAACCAGAAAAAAGGTCACCAGGTTTTGCCGAGTTCAGTGGAGTCATCATTCAGAAGAGGAAGCAACCTGGGAAAGGGAGGATGAGTTGAAAGCCGCCCATCCGCACCTCTTCGCCAGCTCCTCCGAATCTCGGGGCCGAGATTCCGTTTAAGGGGGGTAGGTTTGTCACACCCTGAAGTTCTCCTCCCAAGCCTAAAATTTAATTTATAAGAGACCCTAAGAAAATACCGGTGCAAAGCAAGAGTAAACCCTTTTAAATCAATGCAAATAATAATCGGAAGTGGCATTTGGAATTTTTCTTAAGTTCTACATGTCGAAATCCACTAACAGGATTTTTAGTAGAATTTTCAGAGCCCTAGAAATAATTTTAACCAATTAAAACTGAGCAAGCAATATTTTAATTCCAGGAAAATCCTTTTCTCCTTTTTCTTTTTCTTTTTCCCTCCCTTTTTCGAATGGGCCGCTGGCCCATTCTCTCCTTTTCTCTCTCTCCTCCCTGCTGGGCCGGCCGCAGGCCGAGGCCCAGCCAAGCCACCCCTCCCTCTCTCCCGGGACGCCAACAGGTGGGCCCCACCTGTCGGACCCGTCCCCTTCCTTCAGCCGGCGCCGCCACGCCCGCAACCGCCGCCGCGCCCACGCCTCCGCCTTCTCTGGGCCACGTCAGCCACGTCCGCGCGTGCGCCGCATCTCCCGCGCCCACTCCCCTCTCTCTCCGGCCCGCGCCCGCGCCCGAGATGGCTGGGATTCGATTTTCGAATCCCGCCTCTCTCTCCTCCCCCACTCCCCACGTTGGCCGGCGAAATCTCGCCCCTACCGGCCACGTCCGGGGCTCTCCTCCCTTATTTAGGCTTCCCCGTCGCCCCCTCTCGCTTTTTCCCCATTTCGCCGAACTCTCCTGAGCTCCCCATCGCTCCCGCGCCGTGCAACCACCCGCCGCCGCCGTTTCCGCTACTCCGGCCGCCGCTAGCCGCCGCTAGGGTCGCCGCCGCACCGCGCCGTCGCCGCCGTCGGGTTCGCGAGGCTAAGCTCCACCCCGGCCGCCCCTTCCCCGTCGAGTTTCGTCGCCGGAATTCGCATCCCCTCGCGTTCCGGTGAGTTCAACCGCTACCGCCACTCGCCGGTCGCCGTGGTTCATCTCCCTCTCTCTAATCTCTCTCTCTTCCTTCCTTAGGGCACCCCGAAGCCCGTCCGCCGGTTGCCGTCGTCCTCCCGTGGCTTGTCGTCGCCGTTCGCCATCGTCTTCCTCCGCGCCAGCCACCCTCGGTGAGGCATCCTCTCCCATCTATTCCCCTCCCTCTCCTTCCTAGCCGTCGCTTAGCGCAGCCGCCTTCGCGTCGCCTTTGCGCCGTCGCCTCCGCCGCCGGTTGCCGTCGCCAGCAACGCGTTCGCGTGTGCGGGTGCCGTCGCCGTCGCCGCGGCCGCTCGTCTGGCCTTGAGCCAAGCCGAGCCGGGTCGCCGCCGCCCCTTCCTCCCTCTCCCGAGCCGCTGACCGGTGGGCCCCGCATGTCGGCGCCGCCCCCCCTCCGTGCTGACGTCAGCCCTGGGATTTATTGCGCAATAAATGATTTAAGGTTTTTCTTTTATAGTAATAAACACAGTGAATCTTCTAAAATTCATAACTAATTCATCCGAGCTCCGTTTAAGCCCATTCAAGTCTCAGTAAATCAAGAAAAATGTGTAGAATCCATTAAAAATGGTTTTGTTCCCTGTTTCAGTAGTCTTATAGTCTGTTTGTAATGTTTGCCTTGTATGTCGCTAGATTCCGGTTCCTCCGACGCTCCGGTGTACTTCGAAATAGTCGTCGAGGTTTCTCCAGCAGCAGAGCAAGGCAAGTCATGCTTGTCACTTGAACATGTTGATCCTATATTGCAAATGCTCTATTGTTTCCTTTCAAATATTGCATTGTTTTATAATGTTTCTATGGGGTGTTTACCTATTGTCATAGCCATGCTATTGTTGTACCATGTTTCTTTGTCAGCTTGGGGTTATAACATGACTAGAGATTGGACTAGGGATTGCTTAGCCATGCTTAGTTCAACTAGTGCACAATGGGGAAGATCTTATTAATGTTTAGACTGTTGGTTCTAATGGTATTGTTGGATTAGTGCCACCGCTTTGGTGTTGGTTAATTAAAATAAATCACATGGTGGGCTGTGGGTACATGGTTTTGCTGGTCGCACCCATGGCAGTTAAGGACCGGTTCGCGGGATGCCCTGGAAGAACTTATCGTACTTACCACAAGCCAGCGTGGGCAACGGCTGGGCTTGTAGTGTAGTTTTCCTCTAGTCAACGCATCCAGGCAAGGGTGGGCGTGATGGAGCGGGACGGGCCCTGCGACGGCCTCTGTCGCTTCTGGATTCACCTAGGCACGAGAGGGGACTGCCCGCTGCCTTGCGAGGAGTGGGGGTGAAACCAGAGGTGTGGTGTGCTTGGTTAGAGGGGGTTATGCGAAGGGTCCTGTCACGGCCTCTTTCCGGTATGTCGTGGTGACATGTCGGCGCACGGTAACGTGTCGTGGGGCTGTGTCTTGTGGGTACAGTTGTACACCTCTGATCAGAGTAAAACTATTCGAATAGCCGTGCCCGCGGTTATGGGCGGTCAACCAGATTCACCGTGATTAGTCTCACCCTAGTGTAATCTTTTGATTTTGGATAGTTTAGGTGGATGGTTGGGCCTGTTGCAACGTGGGATAGCGTTGGACAGTGGATAGTTAATATTAATTAATTATTACAACTGTTTAAATCTTTCAATTTCTGTTTTTTTTAATGCTCGCTTTATGCAAACGAACCACTTTAGCTCTTCTTTGATAATTCCCTGCATCATGCCTCTATTCCGGTATGACTTGCTGAGTACAGTGGGTAGTACTCAGTCTTGCTCTATTTTTCCCAACCCCAGAGCACGAGTATGTGTCAGATGAAGGTTTCTCCGAGGAGTAGGCTTCGTCCGTGCCGTCGAGGATGCCTGTGGAGTGGTGTTCCCGCTGCAGTTCTAGTCAAGGCTTAGCTCCTGTTGTCTTTCGTTTTTCCGCTGCATTTACGTAAGACTTTTATGATGTTTGTAAGACGTGGATCTGAATGTCAACATTGTCATTTGTGTACCCCGGCCGGTCCTGGACGGGCATTTTAATGCACATTCTGCTTGGAATTCTATTCGGGAATTTCTGGGCATGACAATACTGTCCTTGAATAATTGTGGTACCCTCTGTTTGTATCCTTAAGAATGGTTTTGAGTACTTCACTTGTGCTCGATTGGGCCTATACATGCTTTATATGCTACTACTTGCTTAGCAATGCGTAGAAATATGCAAATACTCAATCTTATCATTTTATAATTGAATTTTGGGCATTTATTTATTTCTGGGCAAAAATGAAAATGCTAAGTATTTGTGAACTAAAATGAGGATAAAATGATTTTAGACTTGGGCGGCGTGGTGTGTATATGGTGGTAGTTGCACAACAATAGTGAGAGTGTTCGACCGGGTCGATTAAGGACCGAACTTCATATCACCAACTAATATTTACCGTACATCCACATGTGCTATCTATGGGGATAGCCTTGCCTAACGTTATTTTCTGTCAACTTCGACTAACAAAATAAAATGACCAGCAGGGAGTCATCCTAATCACAGCTCATATCGCTCACTCATGGAGACCGCTGAGCTGTGCTGTTTGCTAGCTCTTCTTCCTCTTGTATACTGCCTCCTCACGCTCTTCCATGGCTCACGCGAGAGCGACCTTCGGCTACCTCCTGGGCCATGGCGGCTCCCGCTCATCGGCAGCCTCCACCACCTGTTCGGCCGCACGCTCCCGCACCGCGCGCTGCGCGACCTGGCTCGCCTCCATGGCCCCCTCATGCTCCTCAGCTTTGGCCAGGCGGCTCCGGTGGTTATCGCGTCCACGGCCATTGCGGCTAGAGAGATCATGAGGACGCACGACGACAACTTCTCCACGCGGCCACTGAGCACCGTGCTGAAGGTCTGCACCAGGTATGGCGCGGGGATGACGTTCGTGCCCTACGGCGAGCACTGGCTGCAGGTGCGGAAGATCTGCAGCCTTGAGCTGCTGAGCCCCAGGCGCATCCTCAAGTTCCGCAGCATCCGGGAGGAGGAGGTGGCGCGGCTCGTCCTGGCCATCGCCTCATCATCGACGCCGACGCCGACGCCGCCTGCACCTGTGAATCTGAGCAAGCTCCTCAGCAACTACATGACGGACGCGACGGTGCACATCATCATGGGCCAGTGTTTCAGGGATCGCGACACCTTGGTCCGCTACGTCGACGAGGCCGTGCGGCTGGCGAGCAGCCTTACCATGGCCGACCTGTTCCCCTCATGGAGGCTGCCACGCGTGATGTGCGCAACAACTCTGCACAGGGCAGAGGTGTTCGTCGAGTCCGTCATGGAGTTCATGGATCGCGTCATCAGCGAGCACCTTGAGAAGAGGTCGTGTCAGGGAGGAGACCGCGAGGAGGACCTCATCGATGTCCTCCTCCGGCTACAAGCAGAAGGAAACCTGGAGTTCGAGCTTAGCACCAGCATAATCAAAGCAATCATTTTTGTAAGGAACATCTTCATGTCATGAATTGCATTAATTTTTTTTCTCTTCTACGGATTGATTGTTTGACTAGCAGAGAGAAACAATATATACAGGAACTTTTGGCAGGCGGGAGCGAGGCGCCAATAACGACGCTGCAATGGGCCATGGCAGAGCTGATGAGGAACCCAGATGTGATGTCGAGGGCACAGGCCGAGGTCAGGGAAGCCTACAAGGAGAAAATGAAGGTAACTGAGGAGGGCCTAACTAACCTACCCTATCTACATTGTATCATCAAGGAGACCCTGCGGCTCCACACTCCTGGGCCATTTGTTCTACCAAGGAAATGCCAAGAGCAATGTCAAATACTCAGCTATGACGTACCCAAGAGAGCTACTGTAGTCGTGAATATATGGGCTATTTGCAGGGACGCTGAGATTTGGGATGAACCAGAGAAGTTCATGCCAGATAGGTTTGAGGGTAGTGCAATAGAACACAAAGGCAACCACTTCGAGTTCATACCGTTTGGTGCTGGGCGAAGAATTTGCCCTGGAATGAATTTTGCACTTGCTAATATGGAGCTTGCTCTCGCAAGTCTTCTGTTTTATTTTGACTGGAGTCTTCCGGAAGACGTTCTCCCCGGCGATTTGGACATGACGGAAACTATGGGCCTCACTGCTAGGAGGAAGGAGGACCTTTATGTGTGTGCTATTCCATTTGTGCAACTCCCCTAATTTCCTTCGCCTCTTGTTCAGCTTGATGGTTGTCCTATCGAAATGACTCTACCACTCTACGTCTAGAGCAAGAATAAAATCCCACATGGCATTGTCTAGCCATGGATTGTTGTATGTTTTTCTGCATTCTTTTTGTTGGAACTTGTACTTGTTTATTGTGAACATGTATGTTTGAGATCAATGGTTTTATCTAAGGAGTATATTTAAATTTCAACTGTAGAGGACAAAAATTAATTGAGGATTAAGCGTTTGATATTTTTCCTTTTACCAATAATTTCTAAAGTTACCTAAAATCTGATAGAGGCTTTAATAGACTTATAGCAATAGATAGGATGACAGTTAACATCTTGTGACAGCCATAAGCATGTAGGACCGAACAGCAACAAGAACTAATCCAACCAGAGGGGGTGAATGGTTGGTGTATCCAAAAACAAAAACTTTTAGCGGAATTAAAAGTTATCCTCGAATCGATGGAACGCGGTCTGACCGAAGTAGATGCGCCGGTCTGACCGCCTGAATATCTTCGGTCTGACCAGAGTAGATCGTCCGGTCTAACCGCCCCAAAGATTAGCTGTTGTCGCAAACTCATACAAGAAGTCCTAATCCACCTAGGAAACCTTATCGTACAAGAAACCAACTTTACAAACTCCAATCATACCAAATTTGGACTCCTTCCAAATTTGACTCTGCATCCCATACGCACACAATATCTCCATCGTATGCCATATGGAATCTTCACCAACCACGTGCATTGATCTTTAGCCTAAATATCCCTCATGATATTTGACCGTCCGGACGTACATCACCTTATCTTCAAGTTGACTTCCGATCCATCACCGGCAATACTCCCCCGAAGCATCAAGGCACCTACACATGAATCAAACAAAGAAACCATATTCCGAGCCCAAGCTATCTCCAACTTGACATATTGTTAGCAAACAACAGTATTACATACGCATAGTATCCATCTAGAAGCCATAAACATGAAACATCCACGGATATCCAACAAAACAACCTGAAACCGAAACCGACACAGGGTCGGCCGGTCAGACCGCGGGCTGGCCGTTCTGATCGCACAAATACCTCCAGTCTAACCAGCAACCACTGCCCGGTCTAAGCGGTTCTCACCTGTCAGCAACACCTGTTCATCACCTAAAAATTCAATCATCTCCAAAACTGCTTCGCTAATAATCTCCAAATATCAATATCAATAATCTTATATGCCAATTGTTCATCACAGAATAAGAATCAAATACACTTTGATTTTACAGAGCATTTTATCTAGAGATGGTCAAATCTTTCATGGATACAAGTTTTCTCATGTTCGATGAGAAACCAGTTGGGACTTTCAAACTATGCAAGCATCTACAGAAAGTCTTTTTCTCTTCTAGTGTCAGTGAATAGCATGCCGGACGAATCTCGATCTTCCCATTTGCCAGCTCTTTTGGGTGAAGGTCATGCCTTATGTCCAGATTTACCAGGTCGGTACATGACTTCAGCCCATCTTTCATCTTACTCAGGTTGTCTGTAAAGTGCCAATGGTGATGTTGAACACATTCTTCTCAAGATGCATTACTTCAATGGCATGACGAATCTCCAGGTCTTTCTAGTATTCTAGATACCTGAAAAATATTGAGTGCTTCTTGAAAAGAAACGTATCATCCTGATCCGTTGCATCTGTACTATCCTGATCCGTTCCTTTCTTCCTCTTGCATGCCTTCTTCTTTCCTTTCTCGAACACGACCTTAATATTCTTTGTCATGTTGAAGACTTGTGTACCAGTTCGTTTTTCAGGAGGAAGATCGTTCTCCACTGTCTTGTCGAATAATATGGCCATCGCACGCCACTTGTGCCTCTGTGATAAGAACCGACGATGACGCATGTACACCGTCTTCCTTAAGGAGGTGAGGTACTTGTACGACGTGTTGTCGATACATATAAGACATCCAAACTTCCCCTTAAGCTGGCGTGAGAGTGAAAAGTTCGCCAACAGGTCATTGATGGTAACGAATATGATAGCACGCAGAGTAAAATGTTCCATGCAATACTCATCCCACACTCGTCACCCTTCTTTCCACATTTCTTGCATGTTCTCCATCAATGGTTCAAGAAACACATTTATGTCAATCCCAGGCTGTTTTGGCCCTTGTATAAGGTTAGTCAACAAAATGTACTTTCACTTCTGGCAAATCAATGTAGCCAAGTTATACATGCTGAGCAGCAAATCCATGTAACCCAACCTCACGCGATGATGCATGGCCTATATAGCCCCAGCCTGACCCTGCCCCATTTAGCCCGGCGTTTTCTCTCTCCTAAACTTAGGGGGGGAGGTTTTCAACCTCAAATATTTGCTTGGGATCCATATAAAAGGTGGCATGCTTGTTGTCCTCCGTTTATCCATATAAAATTGCACTTTTCTAAATGGAGTAGTGTAGGCACTTTTAGTGTTTTTTACTAACATATATTATTTGCATGGCATGTTTTTAAAAGTATTTAGTAGTCCATACCTTTTTAATGGATACTTTGTTAGGTTTGCCTTTATTTATTTCAAATTTCATCGGATAAAAGCGAAGAATTTATACATTTTTTGAAATGGACAATTTTTTATTGAATAAATATATTGTTTGCAAATTTGTATAGTATTTAGTACTGCATAGTACTTAAATTTAATCTTTGTTTAGGTTCCTTCATTTATTTCAAAAATTTTTAGTGGTATGCGATGAATATACTATTTGTTTAGTTTCCTCAATTTATTTCAAATTATTTAGTGGAATGTGATGAATATACTAGTTTTGCAAATGTAGTAATTATAGGTAATTTTTAATTTTTTAAATTAATGTTATTGGAATCACTAGAGCATGAAGAGTAATATAATGTCTGTTTAAGCTGTATCGTTTTTTCATAAGGATCCAGGCTTGCCCTTCCGTGCTCTCGTCCGTGTGAGGGTGGATGAGACCAAGGCGAGGGGCCTCTCTATCAAATCTGGCCACCACGATCGAACTCGGATGCGAAGATAATGGCGATGGAGGCGATCACGAGCAGGAGCAGCGGCTCCATCCCCATCTATTTAGCATGTTTATTTAGCGATTTGCAGATATTTTTCCTTCTTTTTCTGATATATTCATTTTTCCCTTGTTGATGTTCCTTTTTCCTTTGATGCATGAAAGTTATTTGTGTATATGAATAGCTGGGTACTCGGGTAATATATGGATTCTGATTGGAGTGATGCAATGGTGCACTTGTGCCAAAATCTTGAACTAAGTTTTTTGTGATTTGTGAGGTTGAAGAACAATTTGGGATTGATAAAGAACTATTTAAGATTGTTTTTTTTTTTATTCCAGACATTGGCTCGAATCATGCTGAGACGCCTCTTTTGTTCTCTCTTTCAAATCGTTCCAAGGATAGTTTCCTAACCTATCTGATTAAAAGCCATGGCCTGGAAATAGGCCCATGAAAGCCGCCTAAACCAGATTGGTTAGGAAAGTGCAAGAATACCACCGTAAGTGTCTCTATCAAAGGGATAATAATATAAACTTTGTACTACTATAAGAAAAACCTTAGGGTTTGCTTAGGGTGCGTTTGGTTCACGATTAAGGTTGGATAGGATATGGTGGTTCCTATTTTGTTGGATATGGTGATCCAATTTTTTATTTGGTTGAGCGAATATGACGATTCAGTCTTTTGTTTGGTTGTAAGGATGAAGATGGATTTGGTGATTCAATTTTTTGTTTGGTTGGAGGGAGTATGATGAATTTGTAGGTGTGGTCACCTCTCACTTGAGATGGTGAATATAACCTCCCCCCAATCAAATTAATACATAATACAAATCATAAAATTTCCAACCATTTACACCACTATCTCCATTATAAATATACATAGAAAAAAGAAAAAGAAAAAGAAAAAAAAAGGAAAAAAAGTCGGCTGGATCTGGGGGCTCACCACCGCCGCCGCCTCCTCCCGCCGGCCACCACCTCTCGCCTCCTCCCCCCCCCCCCCCGGCCGCTGCCTCTCGCCTCCTCCGCCGCCGCCTCCTCCCACCGGCCGCCGCCGCCTCCTCCCACCGGCCGCCGCCTCCCGCGGCCGCCGCTGGCCTCCACCGCCACCTCCTCCCGCAATGCGTCGTCGTCGTCACCGGCTAGGCTCACATCACCATCATCATCGCCTCCGCGCTCATCTCCCACGCCAGATCTCCAAGCTTACCACCACTCCCTCCTTCCTCCGCCACTGCTCTCACCGCTGCTCCCTCCTCTCGCCGATGCGGCGCTCGCGCCCGCACCGGCCGCAGCACGTCGTCGTCGTCGTTGCTGAGCACGCATCGGCATTGTCGTCACCGGCCGGCCAGCTCGCGTTGTCACCGCCCAGCTCTCTCTCTCTCTCCCTCTCTCTCTCTCTCTCTCCACAGGTTGACGTGACCACTCGCCTGGCTCGCTCGCTCGCTCGGGCGGTCGCATCCGGGCGAATCGGCCAGAGCTAGCCATTCGGCATCAGAGGGGAATATTCCCCTCTAGGCCACCATGTCCTATCCACCCAAAACGTCCCATCCAAACACACCCTTATTGTGCGGTAAGCCATAAATAGATCCCAAGGGGTACTTTGCAAGTGAGAGTTTCAAATCAATATACTCCCTCCGTACTCGTAAAGGAAGTCGTTTAGGATAATGTTTAAGTCAAACCTTGGGAATATAAATCATGAATAACTCTCAAGTTATTGAGTTTGAAAATGTAAAAATTATATGAATAGATTTGTCTTGAAAAATGCTTTCATAAAAGTATACATATATACATATATATATATATATATATATATATATATATATATATATATATATATATATATATATATATATATATATATATATATATATATATATATATATATATATATATCACTTTTCAATAAATATTTTTATAGAAACAAGAAGTCAAAGTTGTGTTTTGGAAACCGTGTCGCTGTTCAAAACGACTTCCTTTAAGAGTACGGAGGGAGTACTACTTTATTAGTTTTGTCCATACTCAGGACAATTGTTGTGCCTTTTGACAATACTCAAAAACATGTAAGTTTAAATTTGTCTTCGAGTTAAAAATAAATATGACTATGAATATATGCTTATTAACTAGTGTTTGATTTGTTGTTTTGTTTCAACTCGTAGAAATCGAATTTTAACTTACATGTTTGTGAAGTGTTTATGTAAAAAAATCATAAATATTTATGTGACATACAGAAGACAAGGAGACATCCCTCGAAAGTTTAAAATCAATTCCCACAATTCAGAGCAAACTTCCTCAACTATATACTTGGCGTATTAACAAAATTAACAAATTTTGTGCCAAAAGAGACAAGGCTGCTGACCCTCACTATGTTAAAGGAGCATTTGTTTTTTTAGGAAATTGCTTAAATAAACATTCGACATCGCCATAAGATTCATGTGAGGTAAGGTAGGAGGTTAACCCACAACATGCTTGGTGGACACATACGACCCTAGCGCGAACCTGATATATGTTTGTTTCATCCGGTCACAGATAATTTAATACAAATTACTTTAAAATTATAGTTACAATATAATTCACTTCAGTTACACTACTTTTTTTTTTACAAAAACTATCCAACATTCTGCAACTACTCCTGCTTTTTTTTAATAAAAAAAAAGTCCAACTCTTCCGAGCATCCAACGCTTATTGCTCAGTGCAGCCAGACATAAACCCCATATATAAGTTGTCAATTCTCAAGGGCCCATTTCCCTTCCATCTCTGCCTCACTCTTCTCCACACTAACACCCAAGATGCGGAGCCTCCACTGCGCTCTCCTCCTGCTCGCCGTCGCCGCCGCCGCCGTCCACCACCTGCCACCGGCCGCGTCGTTGCCGGCAATGCCGAACCCAGCGTCGCTCGAGCCGTCGCTGCTCTTCCCGTCGTCGTCCGGCGCGTCCTCCCAGCCGGCGCAGCCCGGCCCCGGCGCCGCGTCGTCCACCATCCCGGCGTTCCCGGAGCAGTCGGAGGCCGCCGCCGCCACCTCCGTCTGCCAGCTCGCCCCGTCCCCGCCCCTTCTCCCCGCCGTCCTCGCCTCCTGCAACGCCGGGGGCGGCGCGCTCCCGCCGCGGCTGCGTTGCTGCCCCGCGCTCGCCGCCTGGATGTACGCCGCGTACGCGCCCACCGCGCTGCTGGCAGCGGCGGCAGGAGGAGGCGGAGGCGTGCCCGGCGCGGCGCACTCCACGGCGTCGGCGGCGGAGGCGGTGGCGGCGGTGGTGGACCTGCCGGTGCTTCCCGACGACGCGGAGGAGTGCGCCGGCGCGGCGGAGCGCGCTCTGCTCGCGGCGGGTGCGTCGCTGCCGCCGCCGCCGCCGCCGTCGCAGGTGGGCGCCAACGGGACGACGGCGGCGGCGGCGTGCGACGTGCCGTTCTGCTACTGCCGGGTGAGGCTGAGGCGGCCGGCGTGCGCGGCGCCGGCGGGGAGGGCGGCGAGGAGGCTGGAGAAGGCGTGCTCGCGGCCGGGGCTCGCCGGCTGCTCCAGGTGTCTCCGGGCGCTGAACCAGGTGAGCCTCGACGCACACTAACACAGGCTTCTCCTTGGATTGCTTCTTTAATTTGGTGCAGTGGACTGGGTGCATTCAAGCTTCATAAATCGCTACAACATTTCTATTTACTTAAACTAATGGAAGCTTAAGATTGTTGATCATGGGAATCATTTCATGCATGGTACTACTTTTTTTTTCTTTTATTTTTTTATGTTTTTCTCTTCTTTTTTATTTTCAAATTAAAGCAAGAAATTAACTAATATATCATTTACTACTTTTAAATATGTCAAAGAACATGATATCAAAGTTTTGTGTACCTAACGGTATCAAAGTACTGCCTAGTATCAAACAGATGTATGGAATTGGGGTGGTAAATAAGGTCCTATCTAGAATGTATGAATTTGTACGTGTAGATTTATGGAAAAGGGAGCATCCATCACAATATCTCATTGCTCTGAATATGGTCTGACACAGATTGGAAAACTTATTATCACAGAATTGAAGTTTTTTTTTTTTGGGAACAAGTGTTGAAGTTATCTGAAATGTAGTTTTTGCAAAATATTTTAGCTGGCAGCTTTTCTTTATAATGGAAAATCTTACATTTCCGGCCTTTGCTATAATAGTAAATACATAATATATATATATATATATATATATATATATATATATATATATATATATATATATATAGTAAAATATTTTAGCTGGCTTGGCTGACTGAAATTACAAAATGGAAAAAATGACACACGTCCTTATTATTTTATTTTATTTTCAAAGTATAATATGAGAAAAATAAAAGCTTTATATCTTAATTAACCAGGGAAAATGCATTTATCAGAACATAACAATTTTCTCATTAATTTTTGGAAACATCTTGAAAGGTTCCAAAAATCACAAATTAATTGTATTAAGGTTTGAAAATCATAATGGTGGCCGGTGTAGGGAATAAGGTAGCTAAGTAAAAGTGAACACCTATCTGATAAATTAGAAAAGATAGTTTTCCCTCAAGGACAGGCAATGTATATGTATCCACAAGAACAGACAAATAGACGGTCCCAGGATTTATTTACAGCCAACAAAATGTCCAGGAAAATGTCAATTGAAGTTCACAGGTTCCATATAGTACGTACGTAGTCACAAATCCTATAGGGTACAACACAAGAGGACCCCCATGTAATAATTAAACAAAGGATAAACTACTATAGCTACAATGCACTGCAAGTCTAGAAGAGTTTCCTCAGACTTTCTGCACATAGTTAGCTGTATTGTGATGCAATGTAAGCATTACTTTCAGTAGAGCCACATATACAGCTATACTCCCTCCATCCCAAAAAAAAAAAAAAAGCAAACCCTGAATTTCCGTACCAACGTTTGACTGTCCGTCTTATATGAATTTTTTTAATAATTAGTATTTTCATTGTTGTTAGATGATAAAACATGATAATATTTTATGCGTGACTTATCTTTTTAATTTTTTTCATAATTTTTTCAAATAAGACGGACGGTCAAACATTGGACACGGAAACCAGAGTTTGTCTTTTTGGGACAGAGAGAGTACATACATACTTTCTGTCCTACTCATCACACCTTTTCTCGTTTTTCACGCGTATGTTTCCCAAATTTGTTTTTGTTTTCTTGCAAAAAAAAATGTATACGAAAGTTATTTTAAAAATTATATTAATCTATTTTTTTTAAAAAAATAGTTAATACTTAATTAATCATGTATTAATGGATTGTTTCATTTTGTATATGCGAATGATTGGTTCCCAGCATCAACATCCGAACACAGTCAGCTTAGTCTCTACTAGTAGTCTGTACCAAAGTTGCATTCCTTTATTCTTCTCGGGTTCTTCCTGCCTTTTCTTGTGTGATGTGATAATGCTGTAGCCTGGCCCTGTATCTCACATAGACTTGGCTCACCTGGAATTTGGTGCATATATACAACTGAATTTACAGAAATGCACTTGGAAGTGTGACAGTGAGAAAAAATTTTAATCAGAGATCCGGGCCGGATGGGTAGGGCCTGGAGCAATGGAGAGCATGATTTGGTTCTGAACACCATGCCTCCCACAGCTTTATTTCACAACTTTCACTTTGGCTCGCTTGCTTTACCATTGTTTTGCTTCAGGACTCGATGCGCCATTGTTTGCCCCCCTCTCATCTCTTCTTGCTTTTGTTTTCTTTCTCTCTTCGCCTCAAAAGCCTCCACTTCCCATACCGAATCATTGGCTTTACGACCCAAGCTTACCACTGGCCGGCGGTGTCGTCAAGTTTCACTTTCACCATCTCATTTTCTTTTCAGAGAGAGAGAGAAAGAGAGTGTGTCTGTCTCTGTGTGTTTCACAGACGGCCTCAACAATGGTGATCTTCTTCTGTGCCAATGCCATTGTCATACGACATGCGTCACATGAGGTTGGAGAGTTCCGAGAGATAGATGTGTGTGGGTGGCGATGTGACGCCATGTCTCGCACGCATGCGCTTTGCAATCGCAATATCTTGCTGGCAATCTCTCCAAATTGAACTGTTGCGAGAGCTAGCCAGCAAGGGCATATTGGCAGGAGGAGAAGCCCCTCCCGTTTTTTGTCCCTTGTCAATCTTAGCTGGAATCTCTTCGATTATTTACTAGTACTACTCCGTATCATGTTCTGAATGAGACGACGCATAAATGATTTTCTTTTACTGTGTAGTGTGATCGATCGAGTTGACCTATAACAGTGTGTATCAACTGCATATGGACAACGCTGAACATCTGATTATGCTGCCATTAATTAAGAAATCCTGCGAGAACATTGATTAGTTGCTCGGCTGAAACGATTGATCAAGTATAGTAGTTTGCATCCTTAATTAATTACCTTGCAACGAAAACTGCCTTTAATTTCGTTTTGTCAACTTGTAAACAAAAGAGCTCATAATTGTTTCACAATTGTTAAATGTTAATTAGCCCGATTATTAGCTCATTTCTTATGTTCTTGGATATATTGTTGAAGCTCAACGGAGGGAACGCCACGAAAGCGGCCAACGCGAGCCACGGCGGCGCGCAGGCGCAGCAGCAGCAGCAGCGCCAGCGCGACTGCCAGCTCATGGGGCTGACGTGGCTGCTCCACCGGAACGCCACGCGGCACGGCGCCGCGGCCACGGCGGTGATCCAGGCGCTCATGGCCGCCGACGACGCCACCGGCCGGCCCGCCCCTTGCTCGCTCCCCTCCGACGACCTGCCGGTCGCCGTCGCCTCGTCGGAGATCAACGGCGCCGCCGCCTCCAAGCTCGCTGGCGGTGGACTGAATATCGGCCGCCTCCTCCTTCGTCACGCCGTCGTGCTGGCTGCTTTCGCCATGATCTTGTCGTCGCAGTACTGCTTCTGAATGATCATCGGTAAAATTTGCTAGTTAGTTAATGTCTGTGTGAGATTGATGTCGATCGTTTTTTTTTCTTTAGTTAGTTCTTCAAAGAGTAGGGATTGCATTTCGTTAATGTAATTATGTGCTGTCCTGGATCCAGCTAGCTAGCAAATCTGATTATCTGAGAGTGAGCACTGAGCAGTAGCATGAATATCAATGAATCAGTTGTACGGAAATTTTAGCACTAATCCGCTACCTGATCTTTTTCCAACGGATAGAACGTTTGGATAGATTTACCTGGGAAGGGGACCAGATTCTACAAATTCTCAGATAGATTGGTAGAGTAGGAAACAGGAGATAACTGTCTGGAAACCTCTCTCGTTCTGCAACTGAAGTTTATCTGAACTTCATAGGATGGATAGTTATGTGAAAGGGTATGTAGCCTAGTGGTTGTAGTGATCTGAGTAGCACCCCAAGATCCTGAGTGGCTGAGTTCAAATCTCCATATAAGTGAATTTGAGATTGGGTTATTTGAGAGCTAAGTTCCGGCTAAGTTTCCTATCTGATAGACGAGTAAAATGCGTCACATGTACCACAACTTGTAGAGTGGGTGCAATTTAGTCACATATTTTGTAAATTGCTCAAATAAGTCACTCAACTTGTTTTGAGGTGCAAATCTAACTGAAAAGGTGCCACGCGTATTATTTATGCCAAGGTAGACGCCACATCAGCATGACAGGTTGACCTTGTATGCAAAGAACAAAGATGCAAAGTAGCCCTTACATTGTTTCAATTTTTCGTTTGAGTACATAGATTTGTTTGATACTCCATGGATATAGCTTCATGGATTTATGTGCTAAGATTTTGCAATACGAGAGAATCCATGTGATGGCAGTAGAACAACTAATCATATGTGGGCTGATGAACACCAGTAAGACGCGGAATTGGAGCCATCAAATGGAGCGCTCGTGGCCAGCGTTGATGATTTCGCCGGTGATGGATTCGTATGCAGCCACGCAGGCTATCGCCGCGACTCGCTAGACCTGGCGTCGTCCTGTCCCGTGCACATGCTAACAAAAAAACCTACAATCATGGCTTAGCACACGGGCATAACAGATATAAATAGGCCAATTAGATTAGCAAAGAGTAATATAGTAGAAGGGTTTTTCTATAAAATTGTATTACTTTCGCCAACTCATCGTCACGTCTGCCATCGTATCGTCCACTTTGACAAAAATAATACACGTGGCACGTTTTTGATTATATTTGCACCCGCAAACAAATTGAATGACTTATTTGAGCAATTTATAAGATGTGTGACTAAATTGCACCCATCTTGTAAGTTGTGATACCTACAACGCATTTTACTCTTGATAGGCTAAATTGCTAATTTAAAAAGACTACATATATCCGGTTGGATATAGAGGCCGGGTAAAAAATACCCTTATCAAAAAAAAAAAAGAAGGATGGATGGCTATTGGCTACATTAACGGAAGAACCTGAAAACATAAGAACAGAGAGCGACCACACAGCTGGAGGACAAAATAGCAATGGCCTCTATTTATTTCGATTACATCAAGATGTGCACAGGGCAGCTCACTATTATACACGTACATCTTGCAAACATACTCACGAATGCACTCTTAATACACGTCGAAATCTTCTATTATATATTTAAAAGTCCATTAAACTTCCTACAAGCGCTCTTAAGCCGCCACGTGGCACTTCTACGAACGCTTCTAGACCGCCACGTGGCAATGCCTAATCTCACCGTTGATTTTCACTTAAATCGGTGAACCTGAAAATTTGGACCATTAGATTAGATTAGATTAGATATATTTTATTTAAAAAAGAAACTAATACCTTACTGTTGGCCGAAAAAAAAACGTAAGAATTCCATAAGTACGTACGTACGGCTTAAAACAATAAAACTTAAATACTGTTCATCGGTTCCGCTTCGCAAATAAATATAAGTACGTAAGATCAGGAAAGAGCAATCGAGCTTATGCTGCTCACCTACGAGGCTACGATTCGTCAGGAAGCAAAAAAACCATGCCAGCGTATTTACGATGAAAAAAAATTAAAGCAGCGTGTAAACAAATAAAGCCAAAAAATAAACGTATGTAGTACCATCAAAATAAATCGAAAATAGAAACGTACGAAGTTCCTAGATAAAAGCTCGTGCGTTCCAACGGGTAAAGCTATTTTAATTTTATTATTGGTGTACGGTTTAGCTATAGTGAAATTGACAGTGGAAATTCGCTTGGATATTCTTTTTATAAAATCACGAGCTACAATTATGGGTCTGATCGTCTCAAATTAGCATGCAAGTGTTTTAAATTGATTGCTTATATGACTCACGTATTTGTAAAAACAAACAAAATTAAAAACCGACTCAAACACGGACATGTATTTATAAAAGCGATTGAACTTAAAAACTGACTCTAAGACATGTGACGTATCAAAGTACCGGCAAAAACATCTTCAATCTATGTATCTATTATATACTAAAAATCTATTAAACTTCCTACAAACGCTCTCAAGTCACCACGTGGGACTCCTACAGACGTTCCTATATCGCCACACGGCAATCTAATAAATTGGTGGGCCCATTATTTCTAACTATTACATTTATATTTTTTTAAAAAAAAAAGACCCCATAACCCACCTCTCTCTTCTCTTCTCTTCCCGCACCAGCCCATCTTTCAAATTGGTAGACCCATTATTTCTAACTATTAGATTTATCTTTAAAAGAAAAAAAAAGACCCCATAACCCACCTCCCTGTTCTCTTCCCGCACCGGCCCGTCTTTCTAATATGTACATACGTACTTACATTCCTCCTCCCTCCCCTCCTATCTATTCTCCCCTTCTTTCTTTTCTTTAGTATTAAAATTCTAAAAATTAATAAACTTTAAATAAAAATAATTTACCAAAAAAATTTAGTCATGACTTTTAAATAGATATAAATCTATTTCTTCTGTATTACTGTTTCCGTTAAATAAATTAGATGTACGATGAAAAAATAAAAAATAAATAAAATGTGAGTAACATAAAAAAAATATATCCTGACCTTTTGCCATGCCATCCCAATGATTAAAAGGTATATGAAGAAAATAGATGATATAGATCATATCATCATATATCACTTAAAAAATATAATTAAATCTTTTTATGAAACAAAATAATGTTAATTAAATCTATCATGGAAGTTATTTTGACATTATTATATGTTTAATATTCAAAGCAATCTACGGTAGCGCAAAATAAAATATTTTAATTGTGATTAGCATTCAGAAAAAATATTATCATCATTCTAAAATATCAATATCAATACGTCCAAACAATCTTAATAAATCTGTCAGAAAAAAAAGACTATAATACCCCTTATTAATTAAAAGGTATGTAGATGGTGAGAAGATGGTTAGGATAAGATTGAGTAAACAATAAATGTTAGTTGTTTGGATAGGACAAGTAGTATTACTCTAAAATCCCTTATATTTTGAAACAAAATTTAACTTTATCAGATTTATGTGATGGGGTATAAATCTATCTTTAATTAGATGACATAGTTCTATTAGCTATATGCTTAATAGAAAATCTTAAATAAATTTATCCTAAAATCCACAAATACATAGAAAGCATAAAAGCAATTATTACTTAAAGTTTAGAAATACCCATAGTACAAAATATATATAGTTTCATAGAAACCAACTTCATGGTGGAGACACAATATTTTCTCAAATTCAAAGTTGCATGCTTTCACACAATTTTAGTTTACAATCTTTTATATTGCAATGGTAATTAGAAGAATATCGATAATAACCAACATTCAAAGCAATCCCAAATAAATTCGAATAGAGTAGAAATGATATTTCAATAAAAAATCACCTACACATGAACATTTGTAATAAAATTTCAAACAATTTAACAAGATGCCCGCGTATGTGCGCGGGCTACCTTCCTAGTTGAAATAAAAGATAAATAAGGCTAGCAGCAAATCTCTAATCTCTTGCCAAATCCTATCTTACAGTTATAACCCACTGCACTAAATCCTAAAATTTAACATAGAAAAATATCATATCATCCTCCACTGACAACAAGATGCCACGTCATCATTTACTAACAATTATTATATTTAAACATCATACAAGCATGTTTTGTTATCTATAATTTTATAACTTATTAAATTTTAGTGCTTTTAAAATGAAAACATGTTAAACCATCATCCCATATAATCCACATAATATTTCAATATATCTCTTCCTCAGTTTTTATAATATCCTATATACCTATATAGTTCATCCTCAATTAGTTAATGTGATTTCTCTCCTCTCAAACTAAAATTTGACTGGTCGCTAGGGAGGATCCCAAAACTGCCTTTCAAACTCATTTTGGCCACTTTTGAATACAAAGTCATGTCATTTTGGTTGACTTGGGCACCTGCAACGTGTCAAGGAGCTATAAATGACATTTTGTCTCCTGTGTTTAGGAAATATGCCTTAGTTTTCTTTGATGGCATTCTAATCAGCAGTCCTGATTATAATACTCATGGGCAAGATTTGAGGATAGTGTTGCAGCTCCTTTTGAATCATCAGTGGAAGGTAAAGCTGAGTAAGTGTTCTTTTACACAGCAGGAACTTACATATATGGGTCATACCATTGGGTTTAAGGGAGGGTCCACTGATGCTAGTAAAATCCAAGATATTTTGGATTGGGCAGCACCCACCACTCTCAAGAAGCTCAGAGGCTTCTTGCATTGTTGGGTATTATAGAAGGTTTGTCAGAAATTTTGGCATTTTAAGTAAACCTCTAACTAACATGTTAAGGAAGGGGGTAGACTTCAATGGACTGTTGAAGCTGAGTTAGCATTTCAGTCATTGAAGCAGGCCTTGGTTTCAGCCCCAGTTTTAGCACTCTTTGATTTTCAGAAAACTTTTGTTATTGAGACTAATGCTAGTGAATTAGGGATTGGTGTTGTGTTGTCTCAAGACAAATACCCAATCGCCTACTATGTCAGCAAAGCTTTGGGGCCTAGGACCTGAGGTTTGTCGACTTATGAGATTATGTGCTTAGCCATTTTGTTGGGTATGGACCATTGGAGATATTATCTTCAATATGCAGAGTTTACTATCCTTACTGATCACAAAAGTTTGATGAACCTTACGGACCAACGTTTACATACTAGTTGGTAGTAGAAAGCTTACACCAAGTTGTTGGGTTTAAAATTAAAATTTTGTTAAAAAAAAGGATCCATAATGGTTTGCGGATGCTTTGTCCAGGTGTGATCATGGAGACACCATTGACACTTGGTTGGAAGAGGTTGCTCAGGGTTATTTTCTTTGCTTCCTGTGACATATAGAAGAATGAAAGCATTGTTTGGTTGGCCTGGAATGAAGGGATTTATCAAACAGCAGGTTAAGAACTACTCCATTTGTCAGCAAGCTAAACCTGACTGATATAAATATCCTGGACTGTTTCAGCCTTTACTTGTGGCATCAGGGGCTTGTCAAACAGTGACCATAGATTTCATAAAAGGGCTTCCAACATCCAGACGATTTAATTGCATCATGGTGGTAGTGCACAAGTTGTCTAGGTATGCTCACATTTTAGCCTTGGCTCATCCTTTCTCTGCTCAAGATGTTGCCCAGCTGTATATGGAAGGTGTTTTTAAATTGTATGGATTACCCCTGGCCATCATTTCTGATAGAGACAAGATATTTACCAGTCATTTCTGGGAACAGTTGTTCCAAAAGGCAAAAGGTGGGCACTAAACTACATTTGAGCACAGCTTATCACCCCCTTTATATACTGCTGAGCTCTATGCAAATGTTAGTGTAACAGCTGCTGAGCTCTATGCACATCATCATTTGAAAACCACTGCTGAAGATCAGGTATCTCACAAGAATCCACACCAATACCTAGCTGTAGTGGGGTGTGTCCATAGAGCACATCAAAAGTAGTTTTGCCCAAAGTGGAATGATAACCGGTATTGTACCAATATTCTGCCAAATACAACCTAGTGGCCCATTTGGATGGACAAGATTGCGTAAAACAACACAAATAAGTTTCTAGACACTGATTTACCCTCTCAGTCTGTCCATCTGATTTAGTTCAGGCTGATAAAAAAATGCAGCTTCAGAGCTTTTGCAGTTGGGGACTGGGTGTACTTGAAGTTAGCCTTATGTCCAATCTTCAGTTGCTCTCTAATACTCTGGTTAGTTCCCTGAGAGGACAAAGCATGGAAAAACTGAAAACTTGAACTGTCAAAGAAAGGAAATGAATATAAAAGAAGAATGTTATTGTTGAAATTCAAAGCAATAAAATTAGTAACATGATTGCAGGTTTGAATTACGGATCAGCAGGACTATTATATTTGATTCCACATTTTCTCCGCCGTCACAAGTAAACATATCTACTAAAAAAATTGTAAGATTTGTCAGCATTATGAATGTAGTTTCCTGAAATTGGGCTCTGCCATTTGCAGAACAGGACAGGCTGCCATTTTCATCACACAGATCACATTCAACAAAACGTATCAAAGATCGCATATGCACGGCAAGGAGCTCAGTTTTCCTCGCATGATTATTTAATGTGGCAACAACACCAACATGTATTGTCTGGGTAGACAAGTGAAATTGTACACATACTTACTGTACAGCAGAAACCCACATAGGTTTAGATAAAAATAACATACCAGGTCTGTCATTTCAGCCTCAACTTTCTCATTGCTTGGCACAAGCGGAGGCCTCAACTTTGCCATTGCTTGGCACAAGCGGAGGACTAATAGAGTTCCACTGCTCTGAAATAGCATGGACACAGGTTTAGAAAAATTGTAATTGAATAACAGCTCATTAACCCATTACATATATAAAGAAAACAAAAGAGTAGTTAGGTTCTTGTTCCTGGAACAAGTCTAGCGTGCATAAATTAAAGGAAAAGAAATGGACATAAATGCAACAGAATTCTTGTCTCGTGATATGTAAGAGGAAATTGAATTTCAGTTGTACCCTCACTATTTGAATTTGTGAAGAGAATTGTAAATATGCTACATGGGGGACATTTTGAAACTGAAAACGGCAAATGATGTACTATTGTTGTATATACTTATACATCTCAATTGTGCAAAAATGAACAATTCTATAGCATACAACTAATAGTAAGATCTTGATAAAAAGATACTTCTCGTAGGCATAAATATTCACCGGTCTTGAATTGAAAATTAGGAGAAACAAAACTAAAAATGCAACACAATTGTCCTGAGTTTATCAACTAGCACCAGTAAGCAAATGGTTGCAACTTGCAAAAGGCATGCTGTGAATTTTGGTCCCACCTCCAACATGGGCATTAGCAGCTCTCTTCTATCCCCTGAGCTTTGCATCAACCATGCCTCTCGGCTGTCACAGCTGATGCGCAAAATGAGGTGAACCAGATAATCCCAGAGAAGCAGATGGCTCCTCTACATCAATTCATCTTGAATCTTCAAGCGCAGGTCCGCAGTCTTCTCAAGCAGCCATGCATTACATTTTCAATGCACTTGCCCTCAGCTCATGCCGCCTACCAAGCAGGAAATCGGGTTCTCTGAATACCTCTCTTCCGGCAAAAGAAGTATGATCACCATCAAACAATGGAAATCAAGCCAAGCCATTGATCATAGCAACTCAGCCATAGGAGCGCTTGTCACTCCCTCAGAGACAGGGAATCTATACTGATGTGGTTGAGAAATTCAGTGCAGCCTATCAAGCAAATCTGAGCACATTGGCAGGGACAGGTGAATGAAATCCAGCCAAAAAAAAGAAAGATTGAAAACAGAAGCGACTAACAAAGGCCTCTCTGCCTCTCGTGTGCTTGTCGCTCTTCAGAGTTCAGACCATAGAGATGCCAGCCCGATGGTCCGCGTCGCGCGCCTTGCCCTCCCCACGCGGCCGGCGGAGGCGGCGGAGGATGGCGAGCGCGACGGCGGCTAGCGTGGCGCCCACGAGGTCAGCGGCGGCGTCCCTGAGGGAGGCTCCCGAGGACCCGAAGAAACCGGCCTCGTCGGCGATCTCCTTGGCGGCCCCCGCGGCGAGGGATGCGGCGCAGCCCAGGGCGGCGGGGCGGCGACGGAGCGGGGATCTCGAGCTGCGGCCGGCAAGCGCGGCGCCGGCGAGGGCGATGAGGAAGCAGGCGAGAACGTGCTGCAGCTTATCGGCAGCCAGCCACTCATCGGACCACTCCATCCGCCGCCGCCGCCGCCGATGATTCGGTGTCGGACTGACTGTCCGTGGCCGATGATTTCTTGTTGACAGTTGACTGGTCCGCCCTCCCCACGGAAGAAAAACAAAATGATATTATGCCATTGTCACAGTGGGTGTCGTCAAAACGTAATTATTCGATAAAAAGTAGTATTTTTAAAAATTTCATATACTTCTTCTGTTTTTTAACTTTTGACGTGACATCTAACCTATGTTACCCTGATACGGGGATACGGATATGGATACGCGATACGAGGATACGACAATTTTTAGAAAAGGATACGGGGATACGTTTGTATATATATATATTATATATTATATATATATATATATATATATATAAATACAAGAAATTATAAATTGAATTGGGATATTGTAGTATTAGTGTAGCCGATTGGTGATTACAATGTAGCAATCTTCTCCATTTTCCTCTTGTAGCTAATTCACGCTGATTAAGCCCAGACTACCAGCTTCCAATAATTCAAACAAAAAATCAACACATACACGTTTATAACTAAAAGATTAAATAACTGATGAATCTGTTGGAGCATTAGCCGCCGAACTACCACTGGATTGCTAGATGTACTAGGGCCTGAAAACTTCCGGTTCCGGTTCCAAAATCCATTGGATCTTTTAAAACAAAAAGATAGGTATTGTTGTGCCAATAAAATAAGGACATTGCAGTCTTGCAGATTCATTCAAGAAAAAAAAAAGAAGAGGGGATTTATCATTTATTACCTCACATGGGGAACAAAGGAAAGAACAGCTCGGTTGTGATGGAGCTTTGCTCGGCATCAGAGACGCTGCGGCGGCCCTAACCCCTGGCAGGGTATGACGGCTGTCGGTAGAGATGTTGCCTAGCTGCGTCTGGTGGCGGCGGCCTTGCCTGAACAGGGAGGTTCTACACACTGAGAATGGCGCAGGAGGAGAGAAGCTACTGAGGCTACAAAGGTGTTGCATCCGCCGGCAGCGTCGGTGTCGGCGACGGCGTGTGTGAGTGCCGTCGGGAGAGATAGCATATGGAAGCGGCGGAGAGACAGCAGATGGAAGCGGCGCCTACATCGCTTGATTTGGAGGGCGTCGCAAGTATCCGCTACGTATCGGAAATTATCTTTTTTATTTGAAAATCGCTATAATAGTGGATACGTACGGGATACGTATCCGGCGTATCCGTTCGCATATCTGATACGGATACGCGGGGTGAGAGCCGTATCTAGGTAACGTTGTGTCTAACTATTTATCCTATTAAAAAATATATAAATACAATTTATTTTGTTATAACATATTTTACCATTTAAGAACATTAAGAATAGCTTATATTTTTGACATATTTACTCTAGCTTTTAATAAGATGAATGGTCTAATATTATTCTAAAAGTCAATGACTTCATATATTAAAAAATATAAACATGATTATATAAAGTTAAATTAAAATTGCATGAATCCATCTCTATGCGCGTCCCAGGGGCCCGTGCGGGCCGTGCGACCGAACAGGGCCCTAAATTTTAAGGGCCCCTAAAATATTAATTATGTCCTATATATAATAATATTAGAGGCTTTAATTTTGTTAATTTGCCGTCCAAATAGTAGCAAACACAAGGCCCAAAATGCTGCAGAAGGTGAATCGATCCATCTTCCATCGTACTCCCGTCCAGGCATCCGCGTCATCGCGTATCGCCGATGTCACGCCCGAAAATTCACTAATAATTTCCGAATTAATTTGTGCATAAAATCCTCGTCCAGGAATCAGCCGAGGTACACAAACTGACAATTTAATATACAAATCCATCATAATAATAACGTTACATACTTACAAAAGAAAAGAAAAACAGCAGCGGAATTAACGGTCTAGCGATGGCTTCAGCTTCACTCCCACAAACTCAACTGGGGTATAATCCAAATGTCTTCTCCTTCTGAATCCTTTTTCTTCAACTGAGGTTGATTGATTATTACAAGAATGAGCATATGACATACTCAACAAGCCACACAGCAAATATGCAAAGTGCACAAGGATACCAAAGGATGGCATAATATAGTCTCATTTGTGAAAGCAGCATTTAGCAAAGAGTTAAGAGTAGTAAAACAGTAGAGTAATTAATCAGAAATTTTAATCAACACTGAACAGCACACCTATGCTGCACAGGTCCAACCATCCTGAACAACCATACCCGGCTGTACAGATCTAACTCCAAACCAAGAGCTAAACAAATTATTACCAGTTATAGCATCAATAATTATTGTGAGAGGCATGAGACTAATCACGAAAAATATTGCTCAACTCGCCCATAACCGCGGGCACGGCTATTCGAATAGTTTTACTCTGGCCAGAGGTGTACCACTGTACCCACAAGACACAGCCTCAACATCATATCTACCATGCGTCGCGATACTGGAAAGTAGCCGAATAGAGGCTGTGACAATATCCTCTGCACAACACAACTCACCACAGTGCACCATTCCTGGATCATAATCACCCCCTTATAAAACAAGGCATGGACTCCCCAGCGACCCCCGTGGGCTTATCTCCGCCACTTCTCAGTCTAGTGCTCCGCAATGAACCATGCTATACAAAAGGTAAAGCCGTTGCCCACGCTGGCTTGTGGTTGGCACGGTTAATGTTTCACGACAGTAGCTCGCGAACCGGTCCTTAATTGCCATGAGCACGACCTTCAAAACCATGTGCTCACAACCCACCATTAATCATATTTTAATTACCAATTAATTATCATAACACGATTAACCATCGTGAGCTACCATTAAAAATAAACATAAATAATAATGTAGTATATATGATTCATCCCATTAGTGTGCTAATGTTTCTAAGCATGGCTAAGCAATTATATATATAACATTTAGCTGAACCAAACCAATACATAAGGTTCAAGCTAATCAATTTATTACCCAAGGTATTAAGGAATAGGGCATTCAATGCAAATTGGCCATAACAAAGGAATAGGTTCACATCACCCGGTGACATTCGAAAATAAATGCACAGTTGAAATAAATAGAGAATTTAAATATAGGATCAACATGCTCAAAGGATTGTGTTTAGGATCTGTGTGACTTGCCTTGCAATAATCGATCTTCAATTAATCTTCTGAACACTCCCGACGCACTCACGAACCTTCGCAACGACGGAAACGACAAGCTAACACGCAAAACGAAGAAAAAGACTAATAAAAACCAAATAAACAGTAAAAAACAAGCATAAACAGTACATATAATGTAAACAAACATATAGATCATGATTTTAGATGAATTTAGCAACTTAAACCACTCAAAACCGAGTTACGATGATTTAGTTATGAATTTCCGAAGATTTAATCTATTAAAAAAAACTGAAAAAGAGGAGATGATGATGTCATGATGACGTCATCGACGGCAGCCACGGACGGGTGGCGACCTCGCCGGAGCTAGGGTGGTCGGCCGGACTTTTGGAGGACACCTACGCGTAGAGGACAACATTGCGAACTCAATGGTGCTCACCGATACGACAAACGACGACGGACGACGGCCGGCGGCGAGGTGGACGGCGGCGGCGGCTTCGGTCGGCGGTGGCGCCGGAGCTGCGGTGGCCGGCGGCTTCGGGGGTCAGGCGGCCGGGCTTCTCCACCCTCCCGCGCACCTAACGGTGGTGACGGCGACCGGCGGCGACGACGGAGGCGGCGGCGCGACGCGGATGGAGCTCGGCCGGCGACGATGGCGGGGTGGAGCACGTGGCGGCGGCGCTACGAGGCACGGGAGATCACGGGAGAGGGGGCAAACGAAAGAGGAGGACTAGGGGGTCCTATTTATAGCCTTGGATTGAATAGATCGGACTCCTCCCGCAAGAAATCGCTCCGGGAAATCAAAAACTCGGTTTTGGAGATAAACTCAAAACGAGTTCGATTCGGATAAAATACTCAACGATTTGCTCCGATTTTTGGGGGTAAGGATAGAGGAAGATGAGAGGATAAAAACCCCTCAAAAAAAGGGAAGAAAAGGGGAGAGATTGGGGCGGATTCGGCGCGGCAAGGCGGCTCGGCATGGCAGCCGACTCGGTTCGGCTGGCGGCTGGAGCTTGAAGACGCACTGTAGCGACAGGGAGGTAAAGTAGACTTCCTGCCGGGCTTTTCTTTTCTCAGCCTGATTAGAAGAGGGAGCAAAACCGGACTTTGGCTGAGAGAAGAAGAGAGGATGCAGGCTCGGGTTGGGCCGGCGGAAGAGAGAGGAAGGAAAGGAATGGGCCGATTCAGCCTAAGACAAGGGAGGAGAATTTTATTACTTTTCCAATTAAAATAATCACTTAAATGATCTTTGAATTGTTAAAAATACTTCCAATGCTCAAATAATTTCAAGAAAAATCCTGAAAATACTTGGACAATCAAAGTACCTAAAAATTATAATTAGACCATTTAATGATTAATTTAATATGTGGGTAATTACTGAAATGTTCTTTGTATGATTAAAATTAGGAATTGAGCTCCGAAAAATCCGAGAAAATTCCAGAGAGTATAATTAACCATGAAGAATTTAATAAAAATTAAATCCATCCATGCTTTATATTTAGGAAATTTTATTTCCCACATTTAACTTCACTTGTAAATTAATGAATATTTAATATAAATTCTAATAATAATTTATTAAATACTTTATAAATCCTGAAACGAAATTCAGGATGTGACAGCTGAAGTCCCGATGCCGCAGCCGCTTCGTCTCCTCTCCCCAGTTCCCTCCGGCCTCCGCTTCTGCTTCGTCGCTGATGATCGGCTAATCGCCACGCCCGTTTTTAATTTTACTATAAAAAATTTACTAGGCTACGAGGGCCCATTTTAATATTTCGCACGGGGACCCGATTTGGCCGGGACACCCCTAGTGTTGAGAATGAATTTATTTAAAATTTTAGCATGTGTTTATACAGTTTTTTCATTATTGAGTTACTCTCCCCATCTACTTTTTGATCGTCATATTTTGGCTTGACACTGCGACCAAAGAAGATAAACACGATTATAACTCATAAGCCAAGGCTTGCATGCCTTGGCCCACAATTAAAGCTGGCTGCATGCGACCGTGACGCTTCAGCTCCGCAAAATCCTTCGCCAAACCGTTCGGATTAGTAGCACTCGCAATCGCGCGAAATGTTTTTTGCCGCGCCAAATTTTCGCTCACCTACTCGCAATCCGTTTTGTCGCTCGCTGAAAACGGATGGGGTATTGCCCGGGCAAAATTCAAAAATTGAACTTCACATGTTCAATGGCCCTACATAAGCAGCGATGTGACGACGGCATACACCGAGATCAGTTTTCAAATCTTCTCCTCCCTGCCTCTACCACACACAAAGCTGCAGATGATTAATGGCGGCACAGTTGTTAGACCTCAATCTTGAGCCTCCCATAGATTGGGATGCCATTGGCGATTGGGTTGGACCGGCTCATGAACTTGAGTATGACATGGTGTAGGCTCATATGAAGGTACTTATCTATGTGTCTTTGTTTTTGGTTTAGGAACCTATAGTTTTGGTATGAATCAGTTACAAAATTCGTTTGTGATCTCTTATTATTTGTGCTATCGTAGGTGTTGATGCCGCCGGAGATGGAGGTACTGCCGCCCAAGATGGAGGCGAAGGAGATGCCGCCGCCGGAGATAGAGGTACTGTTGTTGGAGATGGAGGTACTGCCGCCGGATAGCTTTTGTTTTTAGTTTCTGTTTTTGCCTAGCTCTCTGCCTAAATGATCTGTTCAGCGATTATAGTTCAATGAGTATAGGTTTATCATTGCAAAACATCTTGTCTGCAAAAATCTGAAAATAGTAGGTACAGATTCACTATTTGTATCGATTGCATCTTTTTTAGAATGACTGTATTTTTCAAGCATACTATGTAGTCTTCTTGAATTTAGCTTAAATCATGAATTTAGCTTACCACGGACATATATATCCTTCAATCATGAATTTAGCAGACAACCCTATCCTTCAATCATGAATTTAGTTTCAATTTACCACGGACATATATATCATGTCAAGTCTTCTTAAATTACTACTAGTACCAACCTGAAAATATTAGCAACAGACTCAATATTTCTATGGATTGCATATGCTTTCAGAATTAGACTGTCTTTTTCCAGTATTTGTATGGATTGCTACTGGCCACATCAACAGCAACGATGTCCACGGCGACTTGGGTATCAGGAACTTCCGTGTCGCCGGCAAAGGAGTCCTCCACGACATGAACCTCATCGGAATCATAGAAAATCGCCTCGCATGCAGCCACGGCGGAATCGAGCTCGCTCTCGGGGACAGTAACTGCGGCACCATCGAGCTCCATCTCGGCCACAGCCACGGCGGCATCGAGCTCGCTCTCGATCACATCAACTGTAACAACATCAACTGTAACAACATGGAACTCCATCACAGCCAGCGGTAGAATTGGAGGTGGTTGTCGCGCGCGTGCGGTAGAAGAGGAGGCGGTTGCCGCTCACGGTAGAATAGGAGGCGGTTGCCGCGCGGTAAAAAACGAATCCGTTGCCTCGCGCGGTAGAAAAGGAAGGAGCGATTGATTTCCCGAGGACGAATTAACTCTGCAAGAAAACTGAATCGGCGCGCATGTGGGAACCGAGAAATCTGACACAAATGTGACGATCAAAACTGTAAAATCGATTTTCTGAAATGTGACGATCAAAAGTAGATGAAGGGAGTATTAATCAAGTTGATACCTTAAATTCACCCTACTTGGAAAGATAATGTTTCAAATGTGCTGAAATTAATCGAGATTTAAATAAAGGTGAGGGTTTTGAGACATTTAGGGTGTGTTATTTTCTCCAATTTTCCAACTTCTATTGTCCTGTTACTTGTAGAATGCTATATTGGTCAAAAATATCATTGGGTTTCTTCCACAGCTTCTTCCGTTACTACACTGGTCTGTTTGTCAACCATGGCGGGGAATGAGGAACCTCGCATGTGTTGAAGGGGTGTGGCATGCACCAAGTAGAGAGCCGATGAGTAGTACCACTCGTGCTCCGCAATGCCTACTCACTGGTATGCTCACCACCACTTTAAGACTGTGTTTGTTCAAGTGGGTTGGGAACTCATTCCCTCTGCACAGAAAACGGAGCCACACATTTTCTTATGATTAATTAAGTATTTGCTGTTTTTTTAGAAAAAATGGATTAATATAATTTTTTAAAGCAACTTTCATATATAGAAAACTTTTTTTAAAAAATACACAGTTTAACAGTTTGAAAAGCGTGCGCGCGAAAAAACAAGAGAGGTGAGTTGGTGAAAGAACTCAGCCTAGAAGCAAGCAAGACAGTCTTCCTCTCTAGCGCACAATCACATGTAGGACTTCATTGTTTCGCTTATTGACGGAATAAGCGAAACAACATATTTGCAAACGGAAAATAATTTGTAAATAAAACATTTATATACGTGTTCTTAGCGATCTAAAAGTAAATGCTGAAAAACAAACTACGATGATAAAACCCCAAAATTAATTTCAAATTTAAGGTTGAAAATTTAAATTTTGGTTTATAAACATATGCATAAGCCAAAAGATAAGACTTGTAATTTTCGATAAAATCCATCGCATCAACTCACCAAGCGACATTTTGGCGAAACCAACTTTTCACTATGACATTTTCGCATGAAAACCGATGGAGTCCATCGCATCAGCTCACTGAGTGGCATTTTGGCGGAACTAACTTTTTCACTATGGCATTTTTTTTTTCTTGTGAAAAACCGACGAGAGGAAGAAGAGCACGAGACGTTGGATTTTGATCCAAGGGTCGTCGTCGTCGTCGTTAGTCTAATGATTGATTAGGAAGGAAAGTACTCCAGCATCCCCCTAATGAATCGCGTCAAAATCCCCGCCGCCGCGCCGCCGACGACTGGCCGCCGGCGCCGCCGACGATGAAGGAAGGGAGCGACTCGTCCTCCGGCGTCTCCTCCGGATCTGGCACCGCCATGGCGTCTCCTCGTGCGTTCCAGCGCAGGTGGGCCCCCGCGGACGAGATCTCGCTCCTCGAGGCCGCCGCCTCCCACCGCCAGCGGCACGGAGGGATGCCGTCGCCGGGCGACCTTGCCGCGGCCCTCCGTGGCCGCCTCCTGACGGAGGACCACCACCTCGACGCCCGGGCGGTCTCCCGGCAGCTGGCCTCTCTCCGCCGCCGGTACGCCGCCGCCTGGAGGCGGCTCTCGTCCCGCGGCGTCGTCCCGGTGAAGGACCACGACCTCAGGATCTACAGGCTCTCCAAGTCGCTCTGGGAGGGCAGCCGCGGCTGCGGCGCGAGGAAGCCCATCGCGCGCCACGAAGCGAGGGAGCTCGGGGAGCTGGAAGCGCTGTACCCTTGCCTCTCCGCGGAGGTGGAGGCGGTCGAGGCGAGCCGTCTGTGCGCCGTCCCCGGGGTGTTCAGGAGGTCGTTCCGGCGCATCGGCGACGAGAAGGCGGCGGAGCTGGAGGCGAAGGCGAAGAGGCTGCGGCTGGCTGAGCTCAAGGTGGGCGTGCGGCTCGACATGCTGCGGAAGGAGGTCGCAGAGACGATCTTGGAGCTCATCGACTGATCAAACTCATTTTCATTGGATTTTGCTGATATATCATGCCTTGAGCTTGGCAATTGGGGGATGGTTTGATGCCGGAAGAGGTACGAGGTTCCCATTTCTTTTGTGGGAAATTTGAGGGTAGCAAAAGCATCAGTTGAACTCGTGAGAATGTTAGGAATTTGGTGGTATGCGGCGAATCAGTAGCGGTCGCTGCAGAGATATAGGATGCCTACCTAACCTACCAGTCTGAATCATTACCTGTGATGAATGAAAACATGAAGCTGTTCTGGTAAAATCATATCAGGTTAAATTTTGCAAAACATGGCTGGCACCGGCAAAGAGAAGCATATTTCCCCAATTCCCATATTTGCAGTTCGATATATCAGCTTCTTTCATTTCGATGGCAATGCTCTGCATTGTACACCAATTTACATTAACTGAGGAGGTAGCTGGTGAAGAACTTGACAAAATTAAGTGATACGGGAAGGAAATTAAGTTGCTGGAATAAAATGGATCTTCTTTTTAGAAGTATTCTATTTATCTTTAGTTTCGCCTTTTTGTTATTTTTAAGATTATTTCTGGCTATGACAGTTAAAGACTATGTGTATGCACCTTTTCCTTTTGTCGGTCAGTCAGTAGTTTCTTCCTGGATTGTCAGTTATGATGCGGTTAACTCTCGCTTGTTTTATCATGGGAAATATAATTATGTTATGTTTCCAGTTCTATACCTTTTTCTGATTATATGTAGTGAATAATATGAACAGAAACTGGAATATACTATGTTGGAATGTAAGAGGTATCAATTCTGAAGATAAATGGCTGGTCATCAGAAATAAGATTGAGGAGAGTAGTTGTGTTGTTTTCTGTCTACAGAAACCAAGAGGCAAAATTTTGATCATTCTAATGTCAAAAAGTTTGCAACCAAGCGCTTTGATTCTTTCGTTTTTTTTCCCCTTCGGTTGGACCTTATGGAGGAATCCTAGTTTGCTGGGTTGGATCTTTGTTTTCCTATCGGACCTTACATGTTCAGCGCCTTATAGTTTCTGTGCAATTCACTTTCCTGCATTCTGCTGAAACTTGGTGTCTTTCTTCTGTTTATGGGTCGTGCACTGAGCCACATAGAATTGAATTCATTGAGTGGCTGCGTGATCTTCATATCCCTGATGATACAAGCTGGATTTTTCTAGGGGACTTTACATAACAGAAACAGAGATGGTGCAAGCATGAATGATATGGTGTTTTCGATGAAGTTATTAGTAATCTGGGTTTGATAGAATTACCAATCAACGGCAGATCTTACACATGGAGTAATATGCAGGAAAATCCTCTTCTGCAACAGCTTGATTGGTTTTTTATAACAAATTTCTGGACAGAGAACTTCCTAGGCACTATAGTCAAGCCACTGGCCAGATGTATTTATGATCACACTCCATGCTTAGTGCAGATTGGTACTTCAATCTATAAGGCTTCCATATATTCAGATTTGAAAGTTTTAGGGTAGAGCACGATGGTATTTTTGAACTAGTCAATTTTATACGGAGAAATCATGGTTGCTTGGATGATGAAGCAAAGAATATTACAGTTAAATTTAAGAGTGTGAGAAAGGCACTCACAAAATGGAGCAAAGGGTTGTCAAACTTAAATAAGCTGGTCAAAAACTGCAATTCAGTGGTGAATTTTATTGACAAACTAGAGGAATGCAGAGACTTAACTGTGACATAATGGAATTTGAGAAAACTGATAAGGACAAAGACTCGGACATATCTAAGGTACAAACAGATATACTGGCAGAAAAGATGCAATATTAGATGGGTTCAGTTAGGAGTTGAAAACACAAAATCTTTTCATGCAGCTGCTACATAAAGCTACAGGAGAAACTTAATAACGCACTTCAAGGTTCAAGATGGAAGAGTTGTGACTGATCACAATGAAAAGGCTTCCATTGTATGGAGTGCTTTCAAACAAAGTATGGAAGTTTCTACCAACTCAATCGTGCACTTTGATCTAGCATCTTTGATAGAATCTCATGATAATTTAGAAGAACTGTCCAACAGTTTCACTGTCGATGAGATAGAGGACAAAGCACCAGGGGCTGATGGATTTAATGGTTTATTAGTGCTGGCCAATCATACGACAAGATTTTTATGCTTTATGTGCTCAGTTCTGTAATGGTAGTTTATCCTTGGAAAGCCTAAATACTTCTCTCATTACCTTGGTGCCCAAGAGGCAGAACCCTGAAGGAGTAAATGATCGGCCAATCTCTCTTTTGAGTATATTGCTTTAAAGCTAACTACTAATGTGTTAGCTGACATGTAACAAGCAACAATTATCCCTATTTTGCATCAGAATCAGTATGGTTTTATAAAAAATAGGACAATACCAAATTGTTTGGCCTGGTCTTTTGAATACATATGTTAGTGCAAGAAGCAATTATCCTTATTTTGCATAAGCATTAGTATGGTTTTATAAAAAATAGGACAATACAAGATTGTTTGCTCTGGTTTTTGACTACATATATCAGTGCCAGAAATTGAAGAAAGGGATTATTCTTCTAAAGTCCGCGTTCGTTAGTCCAACAAGGAGGTGATTAAGATTAAGATTTTCGTGGCACGCTTTTCAAACTGTTAAATGATGCGTTTCGTGCGAAAACTTTCTATATGAAAGTTACTCTAAAATATCATATTAATCTATTTTTCAAGTTTGTAATAATTAAAAATCAATTAATCATACGTTAATACCACCTTGTTTTGCGTAAAAAAACTTAATCTTCATCTTCAGGAGAAAAGAACACCACCGGCTTAGTTAACCGTAGGATATAAGAGATATGCCTTATATGTAACCCTGACAGTAGGCCCCGACTTCAATTTAAATGAAATCTCGTTGTCATCCGCGACTTCCCTGCCAACATCATCGTTCTCCTCTAGTCGTTCTCAACAGAAGTCGAAAAGACACTGAGCCTCGATGGAGCCGGAAGAAGTTCAACGGTCCACAAGAGGGTTTCTTCGATTAGGAAAATTTTCAGCTCAGCTTCTTCGTATGTTCTTTCTTAATGGTGTTATAGGAAAGAGCTTTGTTTGCAAAAGAGGAGTGGGACAAGTGTTTACACCTAAATTTGGTACCTATGGACGAAATAGGGGAAATTGCCAAAGTTTGGAAAGTGACGGGTTTCCTTCATAGGGCCGGTCAGACCACAGGTATGTGGGCGGTCTGACCGGCTAGTAGGGCCGGTCTGACCGCAGGTATGTGGGCGGTCAGACCGTCAGGGTCCGAGTCCGAGTTTGTTTTCATCGGGTCTCAGGTTTCCTTACTCGGGAAGGCAGGTTTCGTGTTTCCTTTGGTTTCTATCTCGAGTTGGACGTGGAGAAGGGCCTGTAGAGGGCAAGACCAACCCCTATTTAAGGGACAAGGCCGGTTCATTGTAAAACCCCCCGAATACAATCTACTTGAATCGTTCTTTTACTATGTTTTCTATTTTACCCTAGTTTTAGTCCATCTTTGTCTGTTTGTGCCGTAAACCGTCCGCCGCCGCTGCGAGAGTGCGACACCTCTTTGTAGGGTTATCCTGAAAACCTTCCGTTTTGCCCACGAGACGGGTAGTTATCCTCATATCGATCTAAATCGGCCTAGAGGCTGATTTTGATCTCTAAATCGGCTCCACTAGCCGGTTTAGTTGTTTTTTCTCAAAACCCATCTTGATTTGGCCGTTTGGCTAGATTGAGGTGGTTGGCGACTCCATATCACCGCAAGGCGTTTAGGTGTTGCGATCGTGCTTGTCGACTTGTCAAAAAAGTTGCCAACACGATTTTTGGCGACTCCGCTGGGGAATCGATCTATTCAGCCCTCTTACAGCCGAATTTGATTGTCAAATCGAGAGTTTCGGACAAACAACCGAAATTAATCTACACCGCTGCCATTGCTAGTTCCTTTGCCGAGACGCCGAATCAATTTATTCGTTATCAAATCGGAATACATCTACTGCCGGTTTACTGTTTCGTGCTATTGTCGTTGCTGTGGCCGGTTGCAGCTATCTAATCTACCATCAAAATACCTGGCAACGGAAAGGAGCAGCAGCAGGCCACGGAATCCAAGCCGCCGAGCAGGAGCAGCTGGTCGTATACGTATTACTGTGCAGCACGGCAAGAAAATTTGGATTTTGATTCAATTCGGTTTGCTGAATATACGTGTTCTAAAAAAAAATCAGGCTACCAAAGCCGATTTACATACCGAGAGACAAGCGGTAGTACCTAGTTTCGGTCTCAGCTTCTTGCTGTACAGGGTGACCGAAAAAGAAAAGAAATATCAAAGCCGATTCATTTGTATCGGTTGTTTTTACTAAGAAAATCAAAACCGTATATTAATTTATTCGGTCAAATATTTCGGCTATGAGCTATATGGCCGGATTTAATCAAGGAATTTCTTCATCAACTATGACGAGCGGGAACGGATTCAACAATATTACTACACAATACATCAGGACCGATCAAAGCGTCATGAGAGGAAACGTCCCGCTACCTCAAGTTGTAATTTCACCAGAGGTAACCCTCGATTCGCCCAACCCGTCTTTTGCTATTCAAAACGTTAATAATCTTTGTGTAGATGCATATGCTACTTCTAGTTTTGCTCCTATATAATATGCTTATAATGCTGGGGGGTCAATGGGTGATTATACAGCCGATTACACAGGAATCGGCTATATGCAAAACCGAGCTGACAGTATGACCGGTCGTGACACTGGTCTAACCGCATCCTTTGCCGGTTAGACCGCGCCCACCATGGCCGGTCAGACCGTGTACTACGCCGGTCAGACCGTGCCTACCATAGCCGGTCAGACCGTGCCCTATTCTGGCCAGATCGCGCCTCCTGTGGCCGGTCTAACCGCACCACTGACCACCGGTCAGACCGGGCCATGGGCCGGTCAGACCGGTTCCCTGGGAGTTTCTCCAGGTTTTCATACCACGACTAGCAGTACTGATTTTAATTATTATTCATCACTTGTTAATACTGTTAGTCATGCTATTCCACATATCCCTAATGCCTACAATGATATTAATAGGGGGTATCCTCCCGATACTAGGTATGGCCAATATAACAATATTGTGCTGCAACAACCACCTTTTAGGCCACCAAGTCCACCACCAGATCCACCAAGGCCTGAAACTGTGGAGGATAGGTTTAGAAATAATATCATGGAGAATTTCGCAAAGCTAAGGAATCGTGCTAGGGAGAATCAAAAGCCGTATCCTGATTTGATTTTTATGACATTATCCCATATCCTCGTGGTTATAAAATTCCTGAATTTACCAAGTTTAGTGGTGAGGATAGTAGGACCACATGGGAGCATGTAGATCAATTTTTAGCGCAATGTGGTGAGGCTAATTGGGATACATGTAAATTTCGCTTGTTTTCTTTATCTTTGTCCGGTACTGCTTTTACATGGTTTACTTCTTTACCGGCAAATTCTATTTCTACTTGGGCTCAATTAGAACAAATATTTCATGATTATTTTCACACTAATGAAACTGAGCTTAGGTTGTCTGATTTAACATCGGTTAGACATAAATACAATGAATCTGTTGCTGATTATATTGAAAGGTTTAGAGATATTAAAAGCCGATGTTTCAATTTGAAAATAACTGACAAAGATTTGGCCGACATTACATATGATGGATTGCTTGATTCTATTAAAGAGAAATTGAATGGCCCGATATTTCTTGATGTTGATCATGTGTTGCATGAAGCTCTGGCTCAGGAAAGCCGAGTGGATGATAATAGCTTACAAGCTAGTTTAGATGAAAATGCAATATCATGTATAGCCGAACCAAGCGATGGTTCAGATTGTGCTAATAATTTGTGCAATGATGCCA